GTGCTTACGTGTATTGAGACGTCTCAAAACTCTTCTTTTTTCACGTTTTGAGACGTCTCAAAACAGTGCCTTTTGGACCGACTCAGAAGTATGGAGGGACAGGTGCGTGCTTACGTGTATTGAGACGTCTCAAAACTCTTTTTTTTTTTCACGTTTTGAGACGTCTCAAAACAGTGCCTTTTGGACCGACTCAGAAGTATGGAGAGACAGGTGCGTGCTTACGTGTATCCGAGTGTTGTCGGACTGATTCCGAACCTGTAAAGTACCTCTGCAACGCTTTCCAACACAGTGGTTATGTCTCAACTCAGAAGCCTGGAGAGGAGGGTTGGTGCTTACGTGTATCCGAGTATTGTCGGGCTGATTCCGAACCCGTAAAGTACCTCTGCAACGCTTTTCAACGCAGCTGCATGGGATGGGAAACGGGAAAGGACGCCAAGAAAAGGAGTTGAAAGCGGGGAAATTCTTCTAGTTGACTAAAAAAGTAGCTGCATGGCATGGGCATGGGAACGGGGTTCCGGGAAGGTGAAAGATGGGAAGGTTTTGGAAAGAAAGAAAAGGTTTTTGAGTCGACAAAAAAAAAGGCATGGGAATGGGAAAGGGAGTCCAAAAGGCGAGAGAGGGAAAAGGGATGGAGGAGTGGAAAAAGGGAGCGGGGCTCTTCAGAACTCCCACAAGCTCGCAAGTGGAGACGATGCAAGGGGAGGAGTGGAGAGGACGTGAAGGGAGGAGGGAGGATGGGAGGAAGGGGGCGTATGTACAGGGTGGAGGTTGGAGCGGAGAGGATGTGAAGGGGGGAGGGGCGGTTTGCAAGGGGAAAAGTATCCCATGTTCTCACCATCGCCTATGTACCACATCTTCTCCTTCACCACTTGCACCATGCCCTCTAGTGAGATGGCACTCGCACCCAGATAATGAAGAGAAGTGCTCACCATCCCCTATGCACCACGTTCTCTTTCACCACACAAGGATTGACTGAGAGTGCAAAGAGATTGAAGAGGATGAGGGTGTCTCACCATCGCCTATGTACCACATGTTCTCCTTCACCACTTGCACCGTGCCCTCTAGCGAGATGGCACTCGCACCCAGATCCCCTGCAAGAAAACGACAACAAGACAGATTGGAGCACGCAAGGCAAGACTGAGAAAATTAACCTGTAAAGCATAAATAGCATGGGCACACTGTGACTCGGAAAACATGACAGGAGAAGGAAGTGGATGGGTGTTGAGGAGAGGAGAACAAGAAGACGGGAGAAGAATTGGATGATGGCAGGAGGAGGGGCATAACGGTAGTGGTTACTCAGCAGAGGGCTCTTTCTGAGGTGCCTCAAATGACTATTGAATCAACCCAAAAGTCACCTATTTTGAGTCAGCTCGAATAGGAAGTGGATGATGGCAGGAGGGGGGAAACCGAGCAGTGGTGGTACCTTGATCGTTTGCAGGAGACTCATTTGAGTATATACCCGGGTAACTGTCCGCTGGAGGCTTGCTGGAATATAGTAATCCGCGTGAACTTCCTCTTTCCAAGGGACCTCTGTTGAGTGAACTAGGAAGAGGGACAGAAGAGCAGCGGTGGTACCTTGGGCGTCGGCAGGAGGCTCGTTGGCGTAGATATCCGGGTACTTGACTGCTGGAGGCTCACAAACGCGAGGTCAACTACTCGCCTCACCTCAATCGGGGGGTGGGGGCAGAGCAGTGGCGGTACCTTGGTCGTCGGCAGGAGGCTCGTTGGAGTAGATATCTGGGTACTTGTCCGCTGGAGGTTCGCTGGCGTAGTAATCCGTGTGTTTTTCCTTCCATTCGGACGGCTCCCCTGCTAACGCTGAGCTTGCTCCTCCTCCGTACTTGGGCTGAAGAGAGAAGCAGAAGAAAGAGAAAAAGAAAGAAGAGAAGCAGGTGAGGAACCTCAGGGCCTGTTCAATGTCAGCTCAAAGCTCTCCCCTGCTGCCGCTGACCCTGCTCCTCTTCCGTACTTGGGCTGAGACAGAAGCACATAAAAGAGAATCAGATAATCTTCCTGGTACCGCTGGAAAATGCAACATCTGCTTGTTTGAGGCTCAGAGGCGCAGCGCAGGAGTGCGCGGTGGCGAGCTGAGTTGGCTGAGCCGAATGCGCTGCGCTGAGTTGGCTGAGCTGGGATACGCTGCCCTGCGCTGCACTCAGGTGAGCCAAGTTGCGCCACTTGCGTTGAGCGGAGCTGCACCGAGCTCAGCTGCGCTGCGCTGAGAGGAGCTGTGCGGAGATGCGCTGCACTGGTGCGCTGAGGTGAGCTACGTGGCGCCAGTTGCGCTGAGCGGAACTGAGCTGTGTCTAGTTGAGCAGAGCTGAGGTTATGCTCGAACGCGAGCATAACAAGCTACACGAGGACACGGAGGGAGTGACGGGACACGGAACGTCACCTCGACGTCATGTGAGATGCGATATCACCTATTGAGCGCGCACTGAAATCTGAGTGTTTCTGATATTGACGAATGAACGCGCATTTAAGGACGGGAAAGCACACAACATGTGCCTAAAAGGTTGTACGTAGCATGAATGCAATGAAGACTGATATATGACCATTTCATTGGAGATATTGGGCGCACATCAATGTCGCCGTCACTCATGGCAACGCCCGCTCCAGAAGGAGCGGCGTTGCCTGAAGAGAACTCCTATTGAAGACATTGGGCGTACATCAACGTCGCGCGACGACATGATGGTCTTCGTTGAACAGGGCCGCCCTCCAGGCGCAAAAAGCACCATCCCAGGAATCACGCAATGATACATTTTATCGACGATTCCGCGCTTACATCAACGTCGAGCGACGACATGATGGTCGTCGTTGAACCAAGAACGGCATTTTTTTGCGTCGCTCAACTCTAGTTGAACCAAGAACGTCATCTGAAAGCAGGCGATTTTTGAGTCGACTCAAATTTCACCTGGTACTACGTGTGGAATAGACTCGTCTCACTGACGACACCGATGCCATCGAACATTTTCTTGGGAAGTAATGCGCTTACATCACCGTCGAGTGACATGATGGTCGTCGGTGAATCGAGGCTGGCCTCTGGAAGCAGACCAATGAAGGACCGTCGAACGAAGCACCGAAGAACGAAGCGCCGTCAAGCGAAGCACCGGTTTTGACTCTCTGTTAGCTGCTTGCGAGCGTAGTCAAGTATACGTCAAGTCCCTTGAAATCGGACGGACCTAAAATAGATTCTGGACAAATGGTTGGCCTGTCTACTGATGCCTTCTGCAATACTCGGACTAGTTGAGAAAACTGAGATACTACCCGTATGACTAGGCATTGCCTGACATAAATTAAAGCGGAAGCAAGAACCTAGCTTCTACGAGACATGTAGCCATGATAATGTTTGTCGCAGGCTGCAAATATATTTCGGAAACTGCTCATTCGCAGTGCGCCTACGTGAAAGAGGGTGTCTCGTAGCTCGACATAACCTATCCTCGTTCTTATTCCAAACCCATTAGTTCACTTTCGCTGAAGAGAGACCTACTTTCTCGTACTTAGTAGCTCTCCGAGTTCCGAAATTTGCGGAGTAAAGAGGAAATGTGGGGACTTGAATGACTTTGAAACAGCCATAAATAGTTCACTTGAAATCCTTTCACCTCTACACAAAACTGGGATGCCTGCAAGTTGGAATCTGGGAATCCTACACGGGTGTGTGTAAGTTTCATTTTGCTTCGGTTGTTATAGGTTACATACGTTCACAGAAAGAGTTAACGATACCCAGAACGGTCTGATGGGGTCGTGTTGCTTGCTGTGACAGGCTGGGTTGCTGAGGTTGGTTGGTCAGGAACTTCTTGCAGTTGCAAACAGGTCCTGGGGATCTCCGTCGCTTCTCCAATCGGGGGAAGGGGAAACTCCGCGCCCAGGGCGTTTCCCAGCATAGGGGGGCATCTCCGCGTTTCGTAGTGTATTAAGATTCATGTTATCCCTTTTTCCCTGCCGTAATTCTGGGTTTTCAAGATTGATAGGATCCAGGTGGGGACAATGGACTGGAATGTTGTTGGAAGTGAACGAGACAAGCTCGTCATTTGTGAGGGTAGTTTCGCGCGCAGGTCACACTGAAAACTAACGAAGGGGAGGCAGATGCCTTGTCATGATTCCTTTCGTCAAAACCGCTGAATGTTGCTGCTATGCGATGCTTCGTTAAGAAGAAGGATACCTTCACTGTTCGCTTTCGATCTCTCACATTACGTAAAAAACTCGGCCAAGCACAAATCCCAAGATTGACCACACCAGAAGCGCGATCGCCCTTGGCGAAAACAGATTGGATGGACTTGGACCCTGGCGGCGGGAATGAAGCTGAATGGATGAAGGCCAGCTTGTGACCCGCGAGCCGACCTGGCATGCCATCCATCCGTGCATTTCGCAAGCAAATTTGCTGACGAATCTGGCCGGAAGAGTGCATTTCGACGTCTGACATCCTGCCAAAAATCATGAAGAGTCAGTCGCATAACTCAAGAATTTCCTCTGCAAGATGCACTGAGGGAACCGTTCCGAGCTTCCTCATTTCCCATTTAAAAACTACCTTTCACCGAAGCTATCTACCAGTTGGCCTGGGAATCCCGTGCGTGTAACGCAGGCTTGGCTGGAACCGCGTCTCAAGCCCCTCAGCTCAGCCAGCCCAGCTATAAATACCAGGCGGTTTTCCCTCATTTTCATTCAACACATTCTTCGTTTCAGAATCAGCTTCTTTCCGGATGGCTTGGCCCCAGCAGCACTCCTCTCCTCAGGGGCTCTTCCCTCACCCAATTCCTGCCAATCCAGGCCCTCTTCTTCCATACTTAGCTGCTGGAGCAATTTCCAGCAATGTTCAAGCCCCCTTGCTTGACCAAAACCAATTACCGCGCTTCGGACCCAGATTAGGGTTTGCGCATCGACCAAGAGCACTCACGCGCGAATATTTGAAACTTGGATGGCAGCTAGGATGAACGGACCGCTCAACTGACTTACTGATTTGACATCCAAACCCTAATTCTTGGAATATAGCCCCTGCCGCTATGCCGATCGGAGCACCAGTCGCCATTGAGCCCCGCGGCTCGGTCGGCGGATCGCGCGGAGATTCCCATGCGCACGTTCATGTCCACGTGCCACGCGCTGATTCGCGGCTGCTGAGCCACGTGGCCTTCGAGGCGACAGATGAGCTGGACCTGGCCCTTCAATCTCTCCACGCGCGTCTCAAGCCGCTTCTCGCGTCGGACAGCGAAGGCGACGTGCACAGCCAGTTGCAGGAAATGGTATCGGAAGGCGCGCAACAACATGCCGACGTGGTCAACGGTCTCCTCTACGCCATCCTCATCGCGTCGCACAAAGCCGGTCCGCCGCCCTCGCCGACGTCGCACGCGGCTCCGGCAGCGGCGGTGCGACTGTTCGGAATCCTGTGCTCCGTGACGCGCGATCATCACGCGTCGCTTCTAGCGACGCTTCAGCGATTAGCGAGCGACAAGTGGAGCAAGCTCCAGGACCACGTGCGCGCGCAGGTCATTTGGATCCTCCGGCAGTTGGTTCAGCTAGCCGTTCAGGAAGCAGAAACGCTCTTTCTCTGCCTCTTCCGTCAGGTCTCCGGCGGCGATCTCAGCGTGGGAAATGTGTGGTTAGCTCGGCAATTACTCGACGTCCTCCGTACCAACGCGCAGTGGCTTTACACTCTCCCGAATCTTCTCGCCCTCTCGTTATACACGTTCCTTAGGCTTCTACCAGACCATGCGGTTAGTAAGGCGCCAACCGTAGTAGAGCTGAAGCAGCAGGAGGTCGCGTTTTGCACGCAGCTGATTAGGGAGCGGTTTCAGGACTGCCTGGTAATTGGTCGCGACTTAGTGCGTCTGCTGCAGGATGTAGCGTTGATTCCGGAATTCGAGCCGATTTGGAGGGACTTGGTGCATAGACCGGAGACTATGGGCGCGCCGGGGTTTTCCGATTTAGCTCAGCTGTACGTCGTGCGGACGCCGACGCGTTTCATCACGTCGCGAGTTACGCCCGAAATGGAGTCGCAGCTTCGCTTTCTCCTCGCACACGTGCGCATGGGCCACCAGCGGCGCTACCAGACGTGGTTTGCCACCCGGTTTCTCGCCGCCCCGGAGAGCGAGTCCCTCGTGGCGGATTTGATTCGTTTCGTCTGCTGCTCGGTGCATCCGACCAATCAGGTGCTGCAATCCGACGTGGTGCCACGCTGGGCGATTGTCGGTTGGCTGCTCAAATGCTGCAGAAGCTGCCACATGGAGGCAAATGCCAAGCTGGCGCTCTTCTACGATTGGCTCTTCTTCATGCCCAAGACAGACAACATCATGAACATCGAACCCGCGATGCTGTGCATGGTCCATTCCCTTCCCAAATACGCCATTATGACCAACTCCCTCCTGGAATTCCTCTTCCTTCTCCTAGATAACTACGACGCGGCGCATAGAGACGTGATTCTCCGCGGAATTTCCGCCTCGATCGACATTTTGGTCGGCAAGGGAGTCGTGCCTAGTCTCGAGCCGCTAGCCACAAGCGGCTTCATTCCGACAAAGCTTCGTGAGCGGCTTCAGGCGCTTTTTCCTGCGCATTGTCGGCTCGACGCGTCTCCCCATCGGTACTTACCCCCCTCACCCCTGCATGACCCGCACCATGCGGAAAGAGCTGCGGCGGCGGGAATACCTGGGGGAGGGGGAGGGGCAGTGGGGAGAGGGGGCCAAGCGCGGGGGAGCGGGGCTTTGGTGAAGTCCCCAAGCCCTTCCCCCCCGCATTTGGCAGCGGAGAGGGACGGCATGGGGAATATTGTTGGCAGCGGAGCGGGGATAAGGGCGGCGGAGGAACAGCGAGGCAAGGAAGGGCAGGTGGCGGAGTTGGGGGAAGTGGGGGAAGTGGGCGCAGGCGTTAGCGGAAGCCATCCTGTGGGTGGTTCTGCTGCTGCAGCCGTTGCCGGGAAGGGCGCGGTTGACGCAAGTGGGTCCATCACTGGCGCGAGGGCGGCGGAAGATGCGGAAATGGGGGAGGCTAGCGCTGCAGGGGAAGACCAGGCTGGTGGAAAAGGCCCTGGCGGAGCGGGGAAACGTAGCAAGTCTCCGGAGGGCGCAGAGATGGAACTAGGGGAGCGCGCCGGAGGGGAGAGCGAGGCGGCGGAGGGAGGGAGTGGTAAAAGGGAGCGGAAGAGGAAGAGGGAGGAGAAGGAGGAAGGGGAGGAGGAAGCGGAGGAGGGAGGGGATGTGGAGGCTGGGGAGGTGGAGGGAGGGGAGGTGGTGGAGGAGGAAGGGAAAAGAGAGCATAGCGAGGAGAGAGAGGGCATGGACGAGGAGATGAGGGCTATAGAGAGAATGGTAAAGGGTATGGAAGAAGCTGCGGAGGCAGGGGACGGGGCGAAGGTCATTGGCGGATTCAAGGCGTTCCTGGTGGCTTTAAGAGGCGAGTATCCAGTCAGTGAAGCTGGCGGGCGGAAGCCGCAGGGGCAAGCTGAGGGGAAGGCGCAAGGGAATGAGTACGGGGAACTGGAGGGCGGGCAGGAGATGGAAAAAGAGGGCAAAGGGGGAACGGGGGGAACTGCAGGGAGGGCGAGGGAGCGGCGACCTGTGGTGAATGAGGAACAACGGGATGAGGAAGACGCGCGGTTGGATGAGGAACGATCTGACAGGAGCGTCGACTCGGATGTGACTACAGAAAGAGGCACTACAGAGGGGGAGACGGCGAGCGATGCTTGCGAGGATGGCAGGAAAGGGGAGGAAGCAACGGCGACAGCAGCAGAAGCAGCAGCCGACGGGGCAGGTGAGGCAGCCAGGAACGACAGCAGCAGCAGCAACCGACGGGGAGTTAAGGGAGTTAGGTCGAAGAGAGCTCGCGTAGCAGCTTCGGTAGATAAAGCAGCAGCAGGCGTATCGACAGACTTAGCAGCAGGATCAGGTGCAGAATCCCTTCCTGAAGCATCACCAGAGGGATTGAATAGCAGAGAAGACGCAGCTACAAAGGTAGCTAGGCTATCAGCCATGTTTTTAGCTAGAGACCCAAAGGCTTTTGAAGCTGAACGCGCAGTCAAATCAGACACTTTTAGGTTTCCTCGATTTAGGGAGCGTAGATTAGGTAGGAAGGAATGGGCGCTGATTTCCACTACGGTTTCCGAATGTCTCGCCAAAGTAGGCTCCCCTCTGTTCCCGTCCTTAGCCTCCCTGTCTCCTAGTCGGTTGAACGAGCTGCAGCTGCCGCTACCCTGCCTTCCTGCCACCGTGGGAACTTTGGAAGGTTCTTCTAGGGACGGTGTCACTGGGAACGATGCTTTTGGGAATGAGGCTGCTACTGGGAAGGATGCTTCTGGGAGTGGTGCGTCTGAGGACGGTGCATCTGGGAACGGTGTATCTGCTGGTGCAGCTGGTGTGAAGGCGAAGCTTGGAACGCCATACCCGTTAGAAGGCGCCGCGTTATCAAACTGGACGTCAACGTTGATGGTTCTGCATGAGTATGTTTTGCAGAATGAGTGGTGGTGGAGAGAGCGGAGGGCGGGTGGTGGTGGGGAGGATGGGGAGGAGAACCAGGGGGAGCAGAGAGAAGAGGCGAATGCGATGGACGCTACAGGAGGGGAGGAGGGCCAGCGGAGTGGAAAAGGAAAAGAAGATGGGGAGGGCGAGCAGGACGGTGAGGCGACTGACAAGGACAAGGGTGAATGCGGTGGGTATGACTTGAACTTCTTGCTGCCAGTAGAGGAGCTGCTTATATCGTGGCATGACATGGGCCAGCCAGTTACTGCCTGGTTGCTGTGTGTGGGTGCAGCAGCAGCGGAGAAAGAGCAACTGAGTGCGGCCGATGCACTTGCAGCAGCAGCCAGGGCAGCTAGTGGTACAGAAGTTGCTACTAAGCCTGCGTCTTCAGTTGATGCCCGTTCGAAAAGGGATACTCAGGGGGCTGGGTCCTCGACTGGAGGGGAGGGCAGAGAGGAGAGTGACGAGGGTGGGGAACAAAGAGGGGGGTGTAGGGGGGTGCCAGCAGAAGTGGTTTTTGGTTTCTATGAGCGCCTGGTTATGCTGTGCTGGGAGCGAGGTGAGGAAGGGAGCAATGAGGAAGAGGATGCGAAGGATGAGGGGAGAGATGAGGGGAGGGATGAAGGGAGAGATGAGGGAAGAGGTGAGGGAAGCGGTACGGAGAAAGATGGAGGTGGAGATGGGGGGGATGGGCGTAAGGGTGGATTAGTGGGCAAGGGAAAGAAAGGAGGCGTTGGTGCAGGCAAGCAGGCTTCGTCAGCAGGTGCAGCAGGCATCTCAGGAGGACCAGGAGCAGCAGAAGGAAGAGGAGCAGCATCGGAGGAAAAAGCAGAGGAAGAGCAGAAGCGAGAGGAAGAGGAGAAGCGGGAGGACAAAGTGCCACCAAGGTGCAACGGCGTGTTGCATACCCTTGCTGCACCTCACCCCCTCTCCCTTCACCACCACCACCACCATCACCACCACCACCGTCATCATCATCATCATCCCCACATCACTCATCCCAACCATCAGCATCTGCTGGCATCAGCAGTCCACATGGACTTGCAGCGGTGGATCCTATTGGACGGCTCAAATCTCCTCTTCCAACGTGTCTCTTACCAGGCCTTGCGCCTGCTGCCCCATGCCACATCCGGCCACCCTCCCCTGCTGCACCTGCTGCTATCTGCTGCTGATCCGCCCGCCATTGCTGCTCTGCAATCTGCGATTCTCTTGGGGGAGATTTCATTGTTCAGGAAAAGGTGGTCATCTATACAGGAAAAGGAGGATAAGGAGGCGAGGGAAGCAAGCCAGAAGCAGAAGCGAGAGGAAGAGCAGAAGCGGGAGGAAGCGCAAAAGCGAGAGGCAGAGCAGAAGCAGGAGGAAGAGAAGAAGCGAGAGGGAGAGCAAAAGCGGGAGGAAGAGCAGAAGCGGGAGGAAGAGGAGCAGCTGGAGGAAGAGGATGAGATAGATAAAGAGCTGGAACAGAAGCTGCAGAAGCTGCGGCAAGAGCAGCGAGAGCAGCGAGAGCAGCAGCGACAGCAGGAGGATCTGTGGATGCCGTTAATTGGAGACAGCTGGTCCTGGGACGGGCAGGAGCAGCAGTGGTTATGGCAGTTGGCAGCTGCTGAGGCTGCTGGTTGGATTCACACCAAAAAAGGGCTTGCAGGAGAAGAGAGTGAGGTGTCTCTTCCATTGCTTCTGCTACGGGCTAGTGCTGCTGCTGCCGCCGCCACTGCTGCTGCTGCTGCTGCCAGGAGCCATCTGTCTGCTGAAGGTCATGCTCATCACCGCAGCACTCCAGGCAGCAAGTCTGCTTCCTCTCCAGCCAAACACATCACATGGGAAGGGCCAAGTTGTGAGGCACTCGCAGGCCTGGGGATGCTGCTGCTGCATGCAACCCCGTCCGCCCCCCTCGTCTCCACACTCCTCTCCCTGCCTGCTGACCAATTCGGCGGATTGCCTTGCTCTGTGCTCCGGCCATGGGCGCTGAGGCATCCTCTTAGAATATGGCAGTTTTTGCAAACTTTTGGGAAGAAAAGGCGATCTGAGGAGCAGCAAGGGACGCTTTCAGTGCCAGGGGGAATGCCTACTTTCAGCAATGGAGAGGGCAGGAATGAAAGTGATTTGAGGTGTACCCTGTTGAGCTTGCGACCATTTGTTGACAGCATGGTGCAGACTGTCAGTGAGAGAGGGGGAGGGACAACGTCCTACAGAGGCCTCTCAGAGTGTATCACTGAGTTGCTGTCAAGCTGAATGTACAGTTGAGTCGTTACAAAGCTATTTGAATGCACTTATTAGGTAAGATGCAGTACTTGTGTGAGGCCAGAAGTGCTGGCACTTGTTGATTTAGTGAAGTAAGCATGATAAATTTCTAACCTACTACATACCTATTGAGATTGCCACCAATTAACGATAATACAGTACTGATTATCCGGGGATCTCCTCGCATGATGAACAAGATTACTTATTGCATCCATACTATACGACCATACGTATTGAGATTGGCAACCGTTTTCGTATTTGTACAGCAAGAGTGCTATCAGCACTTTCAAAATTGAAATGTGAAATTTCCTTTGCCCGCGAAATAAATGGCTCCATTCCATTCACACGTCAAACATCCGTGTTCAGATCGACGGCTGTCCGGACTCTCCCATCGAGCTAACATGGCACGTCCGGCCCTCAAACCAACCTCATCAAAATCCTCCGCGCATCGGCTCGCTCAAACGCGCTTCGAGATGTCGGCACCCAATCTGCAACATTTCTCCGCCAGAAGAACCCACCCACCCAAGAAATCCCACTTCCCCTCCCCTCTTCCCATCTCTCTCAAGCCCCCTCGAATTCCTCGGGGAAACACAGCTCCGAAAGGTAAAGGGCTGCTTTGGCTCAGCTCGGAGCACTCTACTTTTTCACCACACACCCGCCGTCACAGCCCACCCCGCCTTACGAACCCACGCTTGTGCTTCCGCAAGTGTCGCAGCCGACGTCACTGGCTGCCGACGTTGTCGGTTGCTCAGCATCGTGACACGCACTTGATAGCCACGACTCGACGAAACTGTATGGAAATTTGTCGGCTCGCGTAGCAAGTCGAATGGTCAACACATTCCATAAGTCGTCCTTTCAGCCAGCGGCCATTTATGTGCGATAGACCTAGTTGTTCGTGGTTCCAGACATTGATCAGTGATCGCGATTTTCTATAGATTCCTTGATTAACAGAAGGAAGTCGAGCCACGATTCAGTTCGCCATCTTTACCCACAACGTTTCACACGTAATTCACATGCTCTTCTTCTCTGTTCACAGTTCTACAGCTGACAAAGACGCTCGCGTTCTCCACTACTACAGCCCAGCGCTAGCCATGCGTTTTCCACTTTAGCATAAGCACTCGGAGCCATATCTAGAAGCACTTGCTAATACGCCGGAGTGCAGATCGCAGCTGGTTGGACGAAGCCCTTTAGTTGCCCACGTGGCAATGGCTGCTGAGTCATTTCATCTGCTTCTGTGGGCCGTACCTTTGCTGCTGCTTGCGTCGATACCAGCCGCGCGATTAGAGGAGACAGCAATCCGGCCGTTTTCTTCTGATGACGGTGCGCCCTCTACGAGTCTAGACATTCGCAGCGTTCCCTTTGTTGTATGCACACGTCTTGAATCGCCATTCATAGCCTTCCTTTCTTCTGACGATATGTCACTGACATACTAGACTGCTACTTAAGTGTTAACCGCGGCCGCCACGTCCGACAAACCGAAAAAGGGGATTCATCGCGGCCGTAGGGCAAGCTGAATTCGCAGCGATAAGGCGGCGAGTTCGCCTCCCTGAAGCGCAAGCTGAAAACGACCACCACAGCCAGGCGAACCCTACGGCTCCCTTCCGTTTCTCCAATCCTTTATCCGTTATTAATCTCCCCTCATCCTCTTTCAGGGGTGCTCTGGCAGCAACACTGCCGCGAACCGGCGCCCTTCCCTTTCCTTCATCTTTGCTCCCTTACTGATTATTTCTCTCTACGCCTCTCCCATCAGGCGCGCTCTAGCAGCTACTCGGCCGCGAATTCGCCATCCTGAGGCGCCCTATGCCCCTAAATCATCCATTCCAATCAACTAATTTTTATCCACGCATCCCCCATCAGGCGCGCTCTGGCAGCTGCACGGCCGTGAATTTGCCATCCTGAGGCGCCGGCTTACCAAGACGACAGCCGCCCAGGCAACCCCGTCGCCGTCCCCGGTCCCCCCCAAGAAGAAGAAACCGACACCGAGCCCGGTCAAGGGTAGCAGCGGTAACAGTAAAAACTCGGGCGCCAGCGGCGGCAGCAGCAAGACTACACCTCAAACGAAAAGCCCGCCGAAAGTAAACAGTAAGAATTCGGCCGGCGGCGGTGGTGGCGGCAGCGGCAGCAGCAAGGGCACGTCTCAACCGAAAAGCCAGACGAAGGCCAAGAACCCGCCCGAGGTCCAGGAAGGATCGACGAAAAAGAGCCCGAATAAGAGCCCTAAAAAGAGCCCCGTGAAAAGCCCCAACAAGAGCCCCGATAAGAGCCCCAACAAGAGCCCCGATAAGAGCCCCAACAAGAGCTCCGATAAGAGCCCCAACAAGAGCCCCGATAAGAGCCCTAACAAGAGCCCGACTAAGAGTCCAAACAAAAGCCCCGATAAGAGCCCCGATAAGAGCCCCAATAAGAGCCCCAATAAGAGCCCCAGCAACAGCCCCGATAAGAGCCCGAGCAAGAGTCCGAGCAAGCCCAAGTCTCCACCAAAGCCGGCAGAGACCAATGTGACTAAGAGCCCGAAGAGTCCTAAGAAGCCCAAGTCGCCTAAGAGCCCGAAGCCACCGAAGCCCCCGACTCCACCTCCTGCCCCTCCGGCAAGTAAGTAATTCGTCTCTGTTGAAGTAGGCCAATTAGCTGCTTCCTCCATTTCATTCCGGCTGTCTCGAGAAAATCCACGCTAGATTTCTTCGTGTCGCTTGCCATCCTCAACCCATCTTTCCCTTGCCTTTCCCGTCTGTGATGAGGAATTGCAGTTAAGTGCGAGGCGCACAAGAACGAGCAACTAGTCATCATGGATGGAAATCTCTTTTTCACGAATCAGCTGGACAAGTGCGAGTCGTCTTGTATCGGGGACGCGAATTGCCTGTACTACACATTTTCGGGTCTGAGCTGCCAGCTGTTCACAGCGAACATGACCATCAAGCCAACCAAGACGTGCTTCTCGAGGAAGTGCCAGTGGGCCAAGTGCAGGGACCCTTCAGATGGTGATTACGAGTCATAGGGGTGAACACTCTGCTAGCTCTTTAATAATCTATGCTGTAGGGAGCACCTACATGAAATAATACTGACATGCCTTGATCATGACTGGGTGAACATGACCATCAAGCCACAAGACGTAGCTTTAGAGGAAGTGCCCGTGGGCCCAGGGACCCTGCAAGTGATGATTCTTCGTTATAAGAGAGAATGTGGAGTGGGTGGGGTGAGAGAGAGTGGAGGACGTCGGGTAGACATACTGAGCCCATTAATAATGTATACTGTAGGGAGTACCTACATTTGATAAACTGTAAGGAAAATTCCTTTTCCTTACTACGCATCCCTGCTCAACGCGTACATCACTGTAGCACCACAGTCAGCACCGTTACCACTCGCAACCCTCGCATCGACAATCCGCCCGCCACCTTCGCACGAGGGCTGTCGATATCCCTGGGGACAGAACTTGAGGCCCTCAGCTGCTGAAATTCTGACCCTGATTTTCAGGGAGGTGACCAAATTTTTGCCCTTAACGGTCACGGGTGCAGGCCGAAATGTAAACTTGAAATCTGGGCTCCAAAGTGTTGTGTACTTAACTAACCTAAACAACATCCTAGACAAGAAAATCACATACTTTTCACTGCTAACTACTCCAGTCAACCTGTATGTCACAACTTCCAACTACAACTACAGCTGCACTACCTACTGCATTTCTACTCATCTACTGACTTCGACACTAGACACACACTAGATTGGATAGAAATCGAGTGAAACATCCTCCACCTAGCGCTCTATTGTGCAACTTTTATGGAAAGGGGGGGGGGTTAGGGGAGGGGGGTGTTCCGCAAGATTTTGGGGGGGGGGGGGGGGGGGGGGGGGTTTGCGGAACCGAAAGTATATCTCAGATTCAGGGGACGGCCCAGATTGAGCACTTAACGCGTCCGGGGAAGGGCTAAACGATGCCCTTAACTGGCACGGGTGCCAGTCGAATCAAACCCTTAAAATGGTCGAGCTGCGCCGAACATAACCCGGAATGTTCAGGGCATTAAGGGCAAATGCCCTTGAATCGACAGCCCTGCTTCGCACATCGCACCCCGACCTCACGGCTCGGCGGGTAACCCGCGTTCCGGGCCTCCGCTTCGACACTTTTTCCCAACCTCAGTCCCAGGCCCGTCGCGCGCAGGGTTCTCGTTATCAGACCAATTTGGTCTGATGGGCTGCGTTTAAGACTGGCTTTTTTGTATTCATCTTAATCCTAAGATTTTGTGTTTGTTCTCATCTGATCAGCAAGATTTGACTTTTAAGTTCGTATGATTTTTTCAGACGTGTAGAATTATTTATCTGAGGATACAGATAGCGAGTTCGGTTTCGTCTGAAACCGACAACTTGACCCACTAGGCCATAGGCCCAGTTGACCAGAGGACAGAACCACCACAGGTACAGCCGATTGCTGCCTTGTAACTGCACGCGCATTCATTACGCGTGTCTTATACAGCTCTGTAACTGCCTTGTGCAGCCTCGCTGGTATCTGCGGCATATGCTGCCAGGCGTTTGTCGTTTGGGTGGCTGTCGGCGGCGACGCCAGCCACAGCCACGACAACGCGCTGTCCTGTTGTGCCAGCGCATTTGCTTTTCGTAGAGGGCGCGCAACACATCACTGTGGTCGTAGTGCCCCCCGCTCCCAACACGCACCGCCTTTCGGTTCTTAGTGCAGTGCACGGTGATGGGGTTTCATGCAGCTGGGTCTGGCTTGAAAACAAGCCTGTTTCTCCTGCTCGTCCTCAGCTCTCTCCCTGCCGAGCATGGATCGTTTCCCTCCCAGCGTCTGATTTCCCAGCGTGACGCTTCCCAGCGTCTAGGCTATGGCCGTCCCCGCCGGCGGACCGTGCGATGGGGAGCCCGTGCTTTCCGCCCTAGACTTCCTAACGCGGGGCAAGCAGATCGCTTCTGCTGCCCCTCCGATTGCGTCGACCTCTGCTGCGATACCTTTGCCCAACTCGGAAAATGGCGATCAACACGTGCCAGCAACGACTACCCCAACAACGCTGTTATCCCCCCCGCTCCCTGACGAATGTGCAAATAAGAGCATCCCTCCAGTGTCGGTCGCTACAACCTCTCGCAGTGCTAACCCCGTCTTGCCTGACAGATCTATGAAGAAGCGGTATAAACAGCGTGTTCTCACCGTCTGCCGTCCGGGCGGTCCGACTCAGCCAGCACCGTCAGTTCTTCCGCGCCCCGCGGAACCAGAACCTGAACTTGCGAGTGAAGACTTCGAAGACCCGAAGGGCAAGCAACTGTCGGTTGAGGATGCTTCAGTTGAAGTGCAAGCAGCAGTGGCAGCGGTATTTTCCTTGGCTCCTCATCTCCGAAAACAAGGCAGGCCGCCCGTGCATGCGCTGCAGCGTCTGCATGGTCTTCGGTGACCCGAACTAAAAATACGGGCGTAACGGCTAGGCCAATGGCTCCAGTCTCTGCGCAACATGTTCAAGCGGAAGCCAGATGACCCTGACACTATACCAGGTGCGTTAAATGCCGGGAATGAGCTGTATGTTTAGCGTTGTCTCCACATGCTTGTCTAAACACTACATCACCAATTCCAATGTTCCCATGTGCACCCCAACCGCAGGCATCAACTGGGCGAGAGCGCAGCGAGAGCTTGTCACCTTCTCTACCATCCTGGCCACACACCAAGAGGATGTCGGGTGTGCGGACAGCCTGAAACTCATGCTGTCCTCCCCCGACTGGGCGACGTGCTACCCGAACCTCGTCCACCTGTGGATGGCTGTCGTCGTGCTTCCGCTCAGTACCGTCGAGTGCGAGCGCGGCTTCTCACGACAAAACATCATCAAGAGTTGGCTTCGCGGGAACCTGTGCGACGCGAAGCTGGGAGAGCTGATGGCTGTGTCGCTCCTAAACTATGACATGGAGTGGCCCGAGTTGCTGAGGAGGTGGAATGCTTCCAAGAAGCGAAGGCCTGCTAACGATGTGCTGATGGCGTCCGGGGAGAGACAGAGCAAGCGTGCGAGGAAGAGATCGGCCGCAGCTGCAGCAGCAGCAGCAGCTGCACTGGCAGCAGCAGAAGCAGCTGCTCGAGAAGCGGCCCTGGTAGCAGAAGCAGCAAGGATGGATGTTGAGTACCCGTGGCTTACCAGGAAAGAACGGACCACAGTTCCCGTGGGGAGTGAGGATGGTAGTAGTGATAGCAATGAGGACTACGGCTCTAGTGACTCTGACTAGGTCCTTAGCCACTGCCTAGGTTGTTTGATAGAATGAGTATAATTGCAGGTAGTGTTCTTGTAGGCTGACTTGGTTTTTTTTTTCGTCTAGTTTATCAGACTAGGAAAAATATTTCAGCTTATACTGCAGACCACAAAATTTTCGTCGTCAAAGCCTAAGACCGGGAAAATGTTTTTGAGGGTACTGTCAGACAGGCCCTAAACCTAGCGAGAACCCTGGTCGCGCGACAACCACAGTCCATTACCGTTACCACTGTAGTTTCGCTATATATTCTTCGCTCATGCCTTCGCTCATTGTACTCTTGCTTCGATAGTGCAATTCTCGTTCGTTCACTCAATTGCACTCGTAACATAAACAATTACATGACGTATTGTAGTGGATCTTAGAATCTTTATAATATTTCCCTGTCGTCTTATCAACATTCAGCAAACATGCCAATAAACTCTAGCAATGAGTGTATATGTATATATATGGTTGAATAATCACGATTTAGATAAGCCTGACATTGCATCTCTCAATTATGAATATGTACGACTTCAGTAATCGCACAGCTGGTTTGTATTTTGATAGTATACCGCGCCGCATCCTTCTGCTGAATGCAAGACATGTTCCGCACGCTACGTTCGAGCCGCCTTATCAGCATGTCAAGAGCACGACATTGACGACGTCGGTAACCCAGACGAGCCACAACTGCGAGACCGACGAAAACAGAAATTTCATGGTTCCTACGAATCACGCGGCACTTGGCAGTCGAAACGAGGAATTTCCACCATCCTTACTAGCAAAGAACCAAGTTCTTCGTAGCCAGGACATTGTCGCACCTCGCGACTATCACTAAGATAACTTGCTTCCTTATTGCAGTCTGACTTGGGCTGTCCGTGCATCCCGCCCGTACAATGCACTCCCGATTATTACCCGGCGAAGTCAATAACTGATCCACCATCCTCTGTCAACAGCATTATTTGCTGTCATTATTTACTGATTGCTGTTTTTTTTGTCAACTATCGTTGACAATGCACTCTGTTGCATTGCGTAGACTTCATCCTAGGGTAGTAACAATCCCGCCCCGCATGTTACAGCTACAAGCAGTCCTCCTTCACGTTGTGCTTCTGCTCTCAGCTTCAACAACATTCACAACGGTCACTGAAGGCTCGTCCGTGTTCGAACAAACCGTAGCGTTTATCGAACGGTTACGCCCCTCGGGTGACGCACACGCACCGAGCACAGCAGCACCCTCTGTGCAGTCACCCTCCGTACAATCATCAGCCTCTGCCTCTCGATTCGGAACCGATCTCCACCGGAATATCTCGCGCTATCCCCCAGTGTGGCATGATTCTGCGAACTCACGCAGGCCTGCATGGGCGGGCGGCAGGAAGCGAGCACCGGCGCCGACGCTCGAGCCGGCATGGGAACGGTTCGGAGTGTGCTCGAGCAGTAAGGGTCCGATCCTCGTGACAATTACTCCACGCCAAATCGGAACGAAGTGGAAGGGATGGGGCACGTCACTCGCGTGGTGAGAATGTGTTGCCTTTGATTGTTCGCTTTTAATGATGTGATAATGCAACCTGTCTCAACCACCTGCAATCTTCGTCCCCGGTTTCCCCTCCCGCGCAACTAATCCCCCCCTCCCGTCTCCGCACCCGACCCCCAGGCTGGGCAACACTTACTATTCTTGTCCGCTCTAGATTCCTCACTTTCCCTATAAACCCCCCACCCGACACCCCACCCCTTCCTTCCCCTAACATTCCTCTCCCCCTCATCCGCTTTTCCCCCCACACGAGGCTGGGCAACTACATCGGCGGGTTCCCCCAGGCGGCAAGGGACCCTCTGTTTTCCCTTACCTACCCCAACAACCTACCCTCCCACCCCCCCTTCCTCCTACTTTTCCCGCCCCCTCTCCTTCCGCCCCCCAGGCTGGGCAACTACATCGGCGGGTTCCCCCAGGCGGCGATGGACCCTCTGCTGGACCTCATGTTCCTCCCCTCGGGCCTCAACCTCAATATAGTGCGATTCAATATAGGCGGCGGCTCGCTCCCGCTAGTACAGCCCGCAGCTATACACTCGACGCGCTGCCTGCGCTGGCGGGCCATGCCGGGGTACTGGCCGGCGCAGGCAGCGGGGTTCAACTGGACGGCGGATTCGAGGCAGCAGGCGGTGCTGCTGGGAGCCAAGGCCCGCGGGGTGAACGTGTTCGAGGCGTTTTCCAACAGCCCGCCCTGGTGGATGACCGCGAGTAAAGACGTTGCGGGTGGGAAGAAGGCGTTTCAGACGAACCTGCTGCGAAAGCATGAGGGGCGGTTTGCGAGGTACTTGGTGGAAGTGGTGGAAAGGTTTAGAACGGATCCGGCGTTGGGTAACATCGAGTTCGATACACTGGAGCCGTTTAACGAGGCGTTAGAGGGGTACTGGATAAAGGGGATGGGGCAGGAGGGGTGCAACTTCAACGTTTCCACAATGAGCCGGATAATTTCTAAAACTGTGCGACTGCTTCGGAAGAGAAATCTCAAGACGAAGATGGTGGGTTTGGACAGCTATCCTGGCTTCACGGCCGTCTGGTTACCACTGCTCCACGTGAAAGACGACCTGCATCGTATAAACGTTCACGGTTATACACTGCCGGTGACGAGGGAGGGGAATGGGAGTATTTCTGCGGTTGAGAAGGTCTACTCAAGAATGAAGGCGCTTGCAAAGTCGCTAGGGAAGGAAGTATGGGTGTCTGAATCTGGGCCGCTGAACAAGGCCGGGAGCTCGTACGATCTCTCGCTCTACATGATGCGGAATGTGATTGAATCGGTGAACGTTCTGGAAGCATCGGCGTATGTATACTGGCAAGTCTTCGACCCGAATGAATCGTGGTCGCTGTTTGGGTTGAATTGGTCTTATCCTCCTGGATATTCGGGCACGATAGAACCTGCTACTAAGCTGAAACGGTTTTGGATGTTCAAGCAGTTAACGGACCTTGCACGGCCAGGAAGTCGACCTTTAGCAGTGCCCCGGGAATGTCGGCATACTGTAGCTGCGTTTTACAACAAGGGAAGACGAACGGTAAGTGTGTTTATAGTGAATCAACGAGTCAAGGGTAGAGGGGTGAATGTGGAATTATCAAGGTTCAAGCTGAATGTGGGGGGGGTGACCCAGGCTATGATTAGGAGGACAACATATGGAGAGGACAATGCCGAAAGAAGTGTAGATACTCAGGGTTCAGCCAAGGTGTTTGTCTTGATTGAGGGCCAGAGCTTTCTGTCAGTCACATTTACACATGTGCAGATGACAAGATGGAGATCTGAGAAGATGGTAATGTGAGCTATTGTTTGTTGCAGTTGCTGCTCGTGTACTAACTCACTTGTACATTTGTCGTCCCGTTACAAGATGTGCGAACTACCTATATTGTTTGTCGCGAGGCGAAAAATGGCCCTGTCAATGGGACATTGGAGATTGTGACAACGTGTACCAGATGGCCAGCCAGTCAGCGAGCAGCATTATCCATGACAGCGCAACCCGAATATATATCAGCGCTCCACGCCAGATTTTCTAGGCGAGTACGGGACTTACAGCTCAGCAGCTAGGCATGTTCAAGGCACAACACCGCACAAAAAGATGATCCGTTACGAGAACAAGGTTAGCCGTCATCCCTAGACAGTGCACTTTATTCTTACGCCAGGTTCAACCTTCACTCGATAATGCTGGTCAGAGCTGAAGACATTTGTTGATGCCTGGAGTTACCTGATCCTTGATTCTGGTCTAGATCCTAGTCTGATTCTAGTTGTCAGTGGAGCTCTCGATGCCTACCTTCTGGTCTGGTTTTCTTCGTATCCCTCTTTGAAGAATCTCATTTCTGTAATCGCTTCTGCCGCATTATTTTAGCCTAGGCCTGGCGGGTCAGGTCTCGGACGTGTAGGGGATATATCCCCGCGCTTGGGAACGCCAAGAATATTGATCGTGCCAGTCACCGAACGTTAACTACTACTGGTCGATCGTAGCAAAATCGTTAAGCACTTTTGAAAGTTCTCAGTGGTTAAATCACCGTCGCCTGACGATTAACTCGCTGGTACAACAGTTTTCCTAGTCCTGCGTTACTTGAGTCGACTCAGAAGTTTTCTTAGTCCCGTGTTTACCAGGACCAGGCGTCGTCGCAATGCAGTCACTCACAGCAGCACCGCATCCCACCACACTCCACCGCGGCTCCCGCCTCCTACACCCCGTTCCCCACACTCCCCTCCCCATTTGTCCCTCCTCCCCATGGACCCCCCCTTCTCCTCTCTGGTCGCCTCTTAAGCTGCCACGTGTCCTATCCCCAAGCCTCCGAGCCTCGTCTCGAGGCGCATCAAATGTTACCGTTAGAGCGTCCGGCGACGATGGCGGAAGCGGAAGCGGCGCGTCGTCGTCTACCCGCCGGTCCGCGGCGCGGCGGTCGCGACAATACTCTTCTTCCGTGCAAGAAGCGTCAGGAGGGCGACGCGGGAGTGCTTCTAACGCGGGATTTGAAATCGACACGGAGTTAATAGGCATCGGCGCGATGCTATTGGCTGTCGGCGCGGGAATCTGGGGAGTTTCGCGGTTCCTAGCGCGTGGCGGGATCGGCAGTAGCGGGGATAGTGACGAGGAAGAGGAGGGTGCGGGTAGCAAGAGTTCGTCGTTTAGTGCGGGTGACGACAAGGAGAAGCAGCGCAAGTGGCGGCAGCAGTCGATGGCGAAAGTTAAGGAGTTAGCGCAGCAGCTTCGGTCATTCAGGACCGTCGATCTCAGCGGTACGTTCAAGAGCCGTTGATCTTGCTTCATCGCTACCCCGCATTTCGTCGCACCTGCATTTCGTCGTATCTGCATTTCTCGTGGTAAAGAAAACGAGGCTGTTTGCTGGGCACGGAGGTTTAGTTAGGAAGCCAAGCAGGAGTGTCGACTGGCAAGTAATTATTTTGCTTTTGCCCTCCCCTCCCCCATCCCCCCACCCTTTCCCCCTCCCCCCTTACCCTCCGCCACTGCAGGCAAGAGTCTGGGCGACGAGGGGTTCAAATATCTCGCAGAATCTCTCGCCTTCAACAATGTGAGCTAATCTTAACTATTCATATCCCCGTTATAAAGCGATCTGCTTTTTTTTGGAATCTTGAATAGCTAGAGCTTCTGCCAGTGACCCTGTTCAGTGTGAGCCTGTAGCCTGAGAACCAGACACAAACAAGAGGGAGACGAAACTGGCAGCCATTATGGCGCAGAACGGGACCTGGGGCCAAGTCGTTCAGCCGTTTCGGGGAATTCCAAACTTCTGAGTCGACTTAGAAGTCACCTTGAACTAGACATAGCCAAGCGGGAGATGAGACTGTCAGCCATTATGGCGCAGAACTGGGGTCCGGGGCCAAGGCGTTCAGTCCTCTCGGAGAAGAACACCATAGGGGACGAGAGCCAAGGTGATGACAGACAGGCATCAGCAGAACCAACCGGGGCGTGCAAACCCCTCTCTCTCAGCTCAACCCACTGCACCCCCCTTCCCCTTTCCCCTTCCCCTTCCCCTTCCCCTTCCCCTTCCCCTTCCCCTTCCCCTTCCTCGTCCCCTTCCCCTTCCCCTTCCCCTTCCCCTTCCCCTTCCCCTTCCCCTTCCCCTTCCCTTCCCTTCCCCCTGCCTCTTCCCCTTCCCTATCCCGCTGTTCCTTCCCCTCCTCTCCCCCCACCCCGACAGAGTGTAGAAAGCGTCGATTTCTCCAACAATGGGATTGGCCCAGAGGGGGTTAAGGCTTTGATGGAAGCCCTGGCGACGAACGCGTATCTCAAGACGCTCAACCTCTCCCCCCTCTCCACCCCCTCCTGAACAGAGTGTTGAGAGTGTGGACTTTTTCCAACAATGGGATTGGCCACGAGGGAGTGAAGGCCCTCACAGAAGCTCTAGCCACGAGGGAGTGAAGGCCCTCACAGAAGCTCTAGCCACGAGGGAGTGAAGGCCCTCACAGAAGCTCTAGCCACGAGGGAGTGAAGGCCCTCACAGAAGCTCTAGCCACGAGGGAGTGAAGGCCCTCACAGAAGCTCTAGCCACGAGGGAGTGAAGGCCCTCACAGAAGCTCTAGCCACGAGGGAGTGAAGGCCCTCACAGAAGCTCTAGCCACGAGGGAGTGAAGGCCCTCACAGAAGCTCTAGCCACGAGGGAGTGAAGGCCCTCACAGAAGCTCTAGCCACGAGGGAGTGAAGGCCCTCACAGAAGCTCTAGCCACGAGGGAGTGAAGGCCCTCACAGAAGCTCTAGCCACGAGGGAGTGAAGGCCCTCACAGAAGCTCTAGCCACGAACGCGTATCTCAAGACGCTCAACCTCTCAGGGAACACCATCGGGGACGAGGGCGCTAAAGTCCTCGCGGGTATCATGGAGCAGAACCAAGGCGAATGCAGACGCCTCTCTCACCCCACTGCCCTCCCCTTTTCCCAACCCCACGCTAACCCCCACAGAGTGTTGAAAGCGTTGACTTTTCCAACAATGGGATCGGCCCGGAGGGGGTCAAAGCCCTGACCGAAGCCCTGGCGACGAATGCCTATCTCAAGACGCTCAACCTCTCGGGGAACACCATTGGGGACGAGGGAGCTAAGGTTCTAGCTGGTATCATGGAGCAGAACCGCGGCGTGCAGACGCTGCAGCTGAGCAGCAACGGGATCGGGGATGAGGGCATGCGAGCATTAGCGGAGATGGTGAAGAAGAACGAAGCGATCGTTTGTTTGGAGATGAACAACAACGGCATCGAGTACGAGGTATGATGTGGGGTTGGGATGGGTACAGGGCGGTATGAACGCTGTGATGCGTGGGCACTGGGTGATGCAGCTGAGCAGCAATGGGATCGGGGACGAGCGAGGGCATGCGGGCGTTAGCGGAGATGGTGAAGAAGAATGAAGCGATCGTTTGTTTGGAGATGAACAACAACGGCATCGAGTACGAGGTATGATGTGGGGTTGGGATGGGTACAGGGCGGTATGAACGCTGTGATGCGTGGGCACTGGGTGCTGCAGCTGAGCAGCAATGGGATCGGGGACGAGCGAGGGCATGCGGGCGTTAGCGGAGATGGTGAAGAAGAATGAAGCGATCGTTTGTTTGGAGATGAACAACAACGGGATTGAGTACGTACGAGGGTATGGTTGTTGAACCTGAATCGGACAGGTGTGTCTAGGACTGTGCGTTAGCGGAGCTGGTGAAGAAAAACGAAGCGATTGTGTGCCTTGAGATGAACAACAACGGGATTGGGTACAAGGTATGAGGGGGTGGAGGGGTGTGGTGGTGGTAGCGGGATTGGGAGAAAGGGGGATGGGAGGCATGGGGGATCCGGGGAGATGTCTTCACGTCCGTCCCTCTCTTTCCCTCTCACCTCCCTCACACCTTTCCCTCCTCGCCCTCACGCCACGCCAGGGCTGTGTTGCTCTCGCTGATGCTCTCTCTCACCCCGCGTCTGTGATTCCTTGATTTTCTCAACCTGTTTTGCTCTTGCCTGACGCCTTGCACTCTTCCCTCCTTCACACCTTCCCTTTTCCTCCTCGCCCTCACGCCACGCTAGGCTGTGCTGCTCTCGCTGATGCTCTCTCTCACCCCGCGTCTGTGATTCCTTGATTTTCTCAACCTGTTTTGCTCTTGCCTGACGCCTTGCACTCTTCCCTCCTTCACACCTTCCCTTTCCCTCCTCGCCCTCACGCCACGCTAGGCTGTGCTGCTCTCGCTGTTGCTCTCTCTCACCCCGCGTCTGTGATACCTTGATTTTCTCAACCTGTTTTGCTCTTGCCTGACGCCTTGCACTCTTCCCTCCTTCACACCTTCCCTTCCCTCCTCGCCCTCACGCCACACCAGGGCTGTGCTGCTCTCGCCGATGCCCTCACCAGCACCAAGTCTCTGCGCTCACTGCACCTCAAGTGAGTGTGAGGGGGCTGTGAGTGTGGGGTGCATGAGTGTGGGGGGGCTGTGAGTGTGGGGTGCATGAGTGTGGGGGGGCTGTGAGTGTGGGTGTGCGTGAGTGGGGGGGGGCTGTGAGTGTGGGGTGCGTGAGTGGGGGGGGGCTGTGAGTGTGTGGTGCATGAGTGGGGGGGGCATGTGAGTGTGAGCTTCATGTATGACTGGTGGGCTGTGTGTGTGTGGTGTGTGTGTCGCCCTCACGCCACACCAGGGCTGTGTTGCTCTCGCCGATGCCCTCACCAGCACCAAGTCTCTGCGTTCGCCGCACCTCAAGTGAGTGTGTGGGGCCTGGGAGTGTGTGAGTGCGTGAGTGCTTTCCCCTCGCCCACACACCACACCACACCACACCACACCACACCAGGGCTGTGCTGCTCTCGCTGATGCTCTGACCGACCAGCACCAAGTCCCTGCGCTCGCTGCACCTCAAGTGAGTGTATGGGGCGTGTGAGTGTTTTGTTGTGTGAGGCTGAGTGTGTGTAGGTGCCAAGTCTCTGCGATCAGTACACCTCAAGTGAGTGGGGGAGTGAGCGGGTGAGTGTGAGTTGGTGAGTGTGCGTGGGTGCGTGTGTGTGGGTGAGTGTGCGTGGGTGAGTGTGCGTGGGTGAGTGTGCGTGGGTGAGTGTGCGTGGGTGAGTGTGCGTGGGTGAGTGTGCGTGGGTGAGTGTGTGCGGGTGAGTGTGCGTGGGTAAGTGTGCATGGGTGAGTGGGAGTGGATGAGTGGGAGTGGTTGTGAGTGTGAGTGGGTGAGTGTGCATGGGTGAGTGTGAGTGGGTGTGAGTGTGCACGGGTTAGTGTGTATGGGCGAGTGTGTCTGTCTGTCTCGTTTTTCTCTGCTTCCCTGCTTTGGCAACTATGCAGGCTCGCTGGGTGGGTGCGCCGGCCTTGGCCAAGGGACTTCAGGAGAAAACCCTATTACGCATCTCCAATCTTTCCTTTCTCCCCTTCTCTATTCCCTCGTTTTCCCTCCTTGTCCCCCATGGTCACGAGCCTACAGTGGCAACTATGCAGGCACGCTGGGCGCATCTGCCGAGTTGACTTTTGAGTCGACTCAAAAGTCAACCCTACAGTGGCAACTATGCAGGCACGCTGGGCGCATCTGCCGAGTTGACTTTTGAGTCGACTCAAAAGTCAACCCTACAGTGGCAACTATGCAGGCACGCTGGGCGCATCTGCCGAGTTGACTTTTGAGTCGACTCAAAAGTCAACCCTACAGTGGCAACTATGCAGGCACGCTGGGCGCATCTGCCTGCCTTGGCCAAGGGTCTTCAGGGGAACAAACTTGCTTTCCCCCCTGACCCGCGTTCTCCCTTTGTCTCATTTCTCTCTGCTTCCCTACAGTGGCAACTACGCAGGCACGCTGGGTGTGTCTGCATCGGCCAAGGGGCTAAGGGAATCAAGCCTGCTCTCGCTTTTCCCTCTCGTCTCTCCCCTGTCTCGATTTTTATTACCCCGTGTTTCCTTCTCACCGCTCCCCAATCGCCAGTGGCAACTATGCAGGCATGCTGGGAGCATCTGCCCTGGCCAAGGGCCTTCAGGAGAACAAACTCGCTCTCCCCTCTCTGACCCGCGTTCTCCCTCTGGCTCATTTCTCTCTGCTTCCCTACAGTGGCAACTATGCAGGCACGCTGGGAGCATCTGCCCTGGCCAAGGGCCTTCAGGAGAACAAGTCACTCAGGGTGAGCAGTCGTGATCCTTAGGTTGGTTCTCTGGGAGGGAGGTAAATATCAAACAGACTCAAAAGTCAACAAGTCACTCAGGGTGAGCAGTCGTGATCCTTAGGTTGGTTCTCTGGGAGGGAGGTAAATATCAAGCAGACTCAAAAGTCAACAAGTCTCTCAGGGTGAGCAGTCGACTCTGCTGATCCCAAGCCTCCTTAGGTTGGTTCTCCAGGAGGGAGATAAATATCAAACTTTAAATCGATTCTGGTTGCACAGGGTTTTTCCTATAGGCTCCAGGGCCTTCTATGTATGTCACTCCACTGCTCCGCTCCTCCCTCTTCTCCTCCTCCCTCCTCCCCTCCTCCTCCCCGCCCTCCTCCCCTCCTCCCCTTCCCACCCCCCACCCCACCCCCCCCAGGAGTTGCATTTCAATGGGAATGGAGTGGGGGATGAGGGAGCGCGAGTGCTGGCATCGGGGCTACTGGCACGCAAGGGCAAGCTGGTGACCATCGACCTCAGCAACAACTCCCCCCCCTCCCCCTTCCCCCTTTCCTCCCAACCATCTCTACAATAGGAGTTGCTTTTAAACGGCAACGGGGTGGGGGATGAGGGAGCGCGAGTGCTGGCATCGGGGCTGCTGACCCACAAAGGCAAGCTGGTGACCATCGACCTCAGCAACAACAGCATGGGCTCCAAGGGGGCGCCTCACACCACTCGCCTCCCCTCCTCCCCTCTTCCTCCTTTTCCTCCCTTCCCTCTGCACAGGAGTTGCATTTCAACGGGAATGGAGTGGGGGATGAGGGAGCTCGAGTGCTGGCGTCTGGCCTTCTCGCGCACAAGGGCAAGCTGGTCACCATCGACCTCAGCAACAACAGCATGGGCTCCAAGGGGGCGGCTCATATCGCTGAAGTGATCAAGAAAAGCCGCAGCCTGCAGTGGCTGAACCTCTATATGAACGACTTTGGAGACAAGGTGGGTTGTGGTGGTTATGGTGGGTAGATGAAACGAGGTGTGCTGACTGCTCAGTCAACTGACGATCTGCTCCTCACCTCACTTGGGACGTTCATATGCTGATCTGTTGCACCGTTTGGGAGTGGCGTGCGTCTGAGATAACCACGTGTATGAAGATTGGTTTTGAGACGCAGACGCTGATCAGCCTCTCATATGCGTTCATATGCTGATCAGCCTCTCATATGCGTTCATATGTTGATCAGCCTCTCATATGCGTTCATATGCTGATCAGCCTCCTCATATGCGTTCATATGCTGATCAGCCTCTATGAAGATGCGTTTTGAGACGCATATGCTGATCAGCCTCTCATATGCGTTCATATGCTGATCAGCCTCTCATATGCGTTCATATGCTGATCAGCCTCTCATATGCGTTCATATGCTGATCAGCCTCTCATATGCGTTCATATGCTGATCTCAGACGCAGGCCGCTCTGAAAACCAATCTTCATACACGTTTGGGAGTGGCCTACGTCTGAGATAACTTATTCCTGGTTCTTGTTCAATTGGAGCATATTTTTCATACATTGTGGCTCCTGTCTTATTTCTGCCGTTGTTGCAGGGAGCGGAGAGAATAGCAGATGCTCTCAAGAGGAACAAGTCGATTGCTACTATTGACCTGGTGAGTGTGATTGAGTGAGTGTGTGAGTGTGTGTGTGAGTGTGTGAGTGTGTGAGTGTGAGTGAGTGTGAGTGAGTGTGAGTGAGTGAGTGAGAGAGTGAGCTGAGTGTGTGAATGAGTGAGATTGTGAGTGAGTGAGTGTGAGTGAGCGAGTGAGTGAATGACTGTACATGCATGTGTGTGTGCTGCGCATGTTGTTCGCGTGGTCCACTTTTATTGCAGCTACTGAAGCCAATGCTTCCGTCCTCTCTTCCTACCTACCTCCCTTCCTTCCCTTCAGGGCGGCAACAACATTCACGCAGAGGGCATTGCGGCCATCTGTGACGCACTCAGTCATCTACCACAACTTCTCTTTCCCCCTCTCCCTGCCCACCCATGCTCCCTCCCGTTTCCCTCCTTACTCCAGGGAGGCAACAACATTCATGCGGAGGGCATTGCGGCCATCTGTGACGCACTCAAAGAGAACTCCACCATCACCACTGTGAGGTAAACACCACTTCAGATCTGTGGACGTGGCTTTGAGTCCACTTGGATGGGCGTGGCTTTGAGTCCACTTGGATGGGCGTGGCTTTGAGTCCACTTGGATGGGCGTGGCTTTGAGTCGACTTGGATGGGCGTGGCTTTGAGTCCACTTTGGGGATTGGCATGGCTTTGAGTCGACTTGGATGGGCGTGGATTTGAGTCCACTTGGATGGGCGTGGCTTTGAGTCCACTTGGATGGGCGTGGCTTTGAGTCCACTTGGATGGGCGTGGCTTTGAGTCCACTTGGATGGCGTGGCTTTGAGTCCACTTGGATGGGACGGGCTTTGAGTCCACTTGGATGGGCGTGGCTTTGAGTCCACTTGGATGGGCGTGGCTTTGAGTCCACTTGGATGGGCGTGGCTTTGAGTCCACTTGGATGGGCGTGGCTTTGAGTCGACTTGGATGGGCGTGGCTTTGAGTCCACTTGGATGGGCGTGGCTTTGAGTCCACTTGGATGGGCGTGGCTTTTGAGTCGACTTGGATGGGCGTGGCTTTGAGTCCACTTGGATGGGCGTGGCTTTGAGTCCACTTGGGATGGGCGTGGTCTTTGAGTCCCACTTGGATGGGCGTGGCTTTGAGGTCCACTTGGATGGGCGTGGCTTTTGAGTCCACTTGGATGGGCGTGGCTTTGAGTCCACTTGGATGGGCGTGGCTTTGAGGTCCACTTGGATGGGCGTGGCTTTGAGTCGACTTGGATGGGCGTGGCTTTGAGTCCACTTGGATGGGCGTGGCTTTGAGTCCACTTGGTATGGGCGTGGCTTTGAGTCGACTTGGATGGGCGTGGCTTTGAGTCCACTTGGATGGGCATGGCTTTGAGTCGACTTGGATGGCGCGTGGATTTGAGTCCACTTGGATGGGCGTGGCTTTGAGTCCACTTGGATGGGCGTGGCTTTGAGTCCACTTGGATGGGCGTGGCTTTGAGTCCACTTGGATGGGCGTGGCTTTGAGTCCACTTGGATGGGCGTGGCTTTGAGTCCACTTGGATGGGCGTGGCTTTGAGTCCACTTGGATGGGCGTGGCTTTGAGTCCACTTGGATGGGCGTTGGCTTTGAGTCCACTTGGATGGGCGTGGCTTTGAGTCGACTTGGATGGGCGTGGCTTTGAGTCCACTTGGATGGGCGTGGCTTTGAGTCCACTTGATGGGCGTGGCCTTTGAGTCCACTTGGATGGGCGTGGCTTTGAGTCCACTTGGATGGGCGTGGCTTTGAGTCCACTTGGATGGGCGTGGCTTTGAGTCCACTTGGATGGGCGTGGCTTTGAGTCCACTTGGATGGGCGTGGCTTTGAGTCCACTTGGATGGGCGTGGCTTTGAGTCCACTTGGATGGGCGTGGCTTTGAGTCCACTTGGATGGGCGTGGCTTTGAGTCCACTTGGATGGGCGTGGCTTTGAGTCCACTTGGATGGGCGTGGCTTTGAGTCCACTTGGATGGGCGTGGCTTTGAGTCCACTTGGATGGGCGTGGCTTTGAGTCGACTTGGATGGGCGTGGCTTTGAGTCCACTTGGATGGGCGTGGCTTTGAGTCCACTTGGATGGGCGTGGCTTTGAGTCCACTTGGATGGGCGTGGCTTTGAGTCCACTTGGATGGGCGTGGCTTTGAGTCCACTTGGATGGGCGTGGCTTTGAGTCCACTTGGATGGGCGTGGCTTTGAGTCCACTTGGATGGGCGTGGCTTTGAGTCCACTTGGATGGGCGTGGCTTTGAGTCCACTTGGATGGGCGTGGCTTTGAGTCCACTTGGATGGGCGTGGCTTTGAGTCCACTTGGATGGGCGTGGCTTTGAGTCCACTTGGATGGGCGTGGCTTTGAGTCGACTTGGATGGGCGTGGCTTTGAGTCCACTTGGATGGGCGTGGCTTTGAGTCGACTTGGATGGGCGTGGCTTTGAGTCCACTTGGATGGGCGTGGCTTTGAGTCGACTTGGATGGGCGTGGCTTTGAGTCCACTTGGATGGGCGTGGCTTTGAGTCCACTTGGATGGGCGTGGCTTTGAGTCCACTTGGATGGGCGTGGCTTTGAGTCGACTTGGATGGGCATGGCTTTGAGTCCACTTGGATGGGCGTGGCTTTGAGTCGACTTGGATGGGCGTGGCTTTGAGTCCACTTGGACGGGCGTGGCTTTGAGTCCACTTGGATGGGCGTGGCTTTGAGTCCACTTGGATGGGCGTGGCTTTGAGTCCACTTGGATGGGCGTGGCTTTGAGTCCACTTGGATGGGCGTGGCTTTGAGTCCACTTGGATGGGCGTGGCTTTGAGTCCACTTGGACGGGCGTGGCTTTGAGTCCACTTGGATGGGTGTGGCTTTGAGTCCACTTGGATGGGCGTGGCTTTGAGTCCACTTGATGGGCGTGGCTTTGAGTCCACTTGAATGGGCGTGGCTTTGAGTCCACTTGAATGGGCGTGGCTTTGAGTCCACTTGAATGGGCGTGGCTTTGAGTCCACTTGAATGGGCGTGGCTTTGAGTCCACTTGAACGGCAGTCGCGGCCATCTGTGACGCACTCAAGGAGAACTCCACCATCACCACTGTGAGTGAACAACCACTTCAGAAAAGAAGACTTCTGGATTGACTAGAGAAGCATTGCTTTGCTGCCATCTTTGACGCACTCAAAGAGAACTCCACCGTCACCACTGTGAGTAAAAACCACTTCAGATAAAAAGGGGGATGGAAGAGTCACTGATTTGCTCTAGGGGATGAATAATTCGTTGATTAAGTAAGTCTGACCTTACTTGTGCTGTCACTCCGTTTCTCACTCCTCCCCAGCTTAAATGTTGAAAAAATTCGTCAAGAATCCATTGCCTTATCTGTCCTGTCCCTTGCTCCCGTTCTGCCACAGCTTGAGTTGGGGTACAACCCCATTGGTCCAGAGGGCGCCAAAGCACTGGCAGACACGGTCAAGTTCCATGGGAACGTGGAGACGCTGCGACTGGGGTGGTGCAAGGTGAGGTTGAGGGATGGAGAGCGGTTATTGGTGGTGCAGGGGTGCTGCTAGTTATTGCTGTGGCTGTGCACCTTAGTCAAGGCACTGGCACACACGGTGAAGTTCCATGGGAACGTGGAGACGCTGCGACTGGGGTGGTGCAAGGTGAGGTTGAGGGATGGAGAGCGGTTATTGGTGGTGCAGGGGTGCTGCTAGTTATTGCTGTGGCTGTGCACCTTAGTCAAGGCACTGGCACACACGGTGAAGTTCCATGGGAACGTGGAGACGCTGCGACTGGGGTGGTGCAAGGTGAGGTTGAGGGATGGAGAGCGGTTATTGGTGGTGCAGGGGTGCTGCTAGTTATTGCTGTGGCTGTGCACCTTAGTCAAGGCACTGGCACACACGGTGAAGTTCCATGGGAACGTGGAGACGCTGCGACTGGGGTGGTGCAAGGTGAGGTTGAGGGATGGAGAGCGGTTATTGGTGGTGCAGGGGTGCTGCTAGTTATTGCTGTGGCTGTGCACCTTAGTCAAGGCACTGGCACACACGGTGAAGTTCCATGGGAACGTGGAGACGCTGCGACTGGGGTGGTGCAAGGTGAGGTTGAGGGATGGAGAGCGGTTATTGGTGGTGCAGGGGTGCTGCTAGTTATTGCTGTGGCTGTGCACCTTAGTCAAGGCACTGGCACACATGGTGAAGTTCCATGGGAACGTGGAGACGCTGCGACTGGGGTGGTGCAAGGTGAGGTTGAGGGATGGAGAGCGGTTATTGGTGGTGCAGGGGTGCTGCTAGTTATTGCTGTGGCTGTGCACCTTAGTCAAGGCACTGGCACACACGGTCAAGTTTCATGGGAACGTGGAGACGCTGCGACTGGGGTGGTGCAAGGTGAGGTTGAGGGATAGAGAGCGGTTATTGGTGGTGCAGGGGTGCTGCTAGTTATTGCTGTGGCTGTGCACCTTAGTCAAGGCACTGGCACACACGGTGAAGTTCCATGGGAACGTGGAGACGCTGCGACTGGGGTGGTGCAAGGTGAGTGGAGGGATGGGATTATGGTGTTTATGGGCAGGTACTGCTTAGTTTGTGCACCCTGGTTGAGTCACTGACTGGCAGACACGGTGAAGTTACATGGGAACGTGGAGACGTTACGACTGGGGTGGTGCAAGGTGAGGGTGGTGCAAGGTGAGGGTGATTCATGGGGGCATGATGCCAGGGGGGAAAGATTGGGAAGTATGCTTGGTGTGTGCTCTCAAGTCTAGGTGTATTGATGCTCAATCTTGAGGCGCCTCAAAACTAGACTTGGTGTGTGCTCTCAAGTCTAGGTGTACTAATGCTCAGTCCACACCCATCCCCCTTTCCTCTTTCCATTCCAACCTCCTCTCTCCCAAACCCCCCACTCCCCCCCTTTACTTCTCCCATCCCCTCAGATCGGAGTGAAGGGAGCAGAGTACATGGCCGATGCGCTTAAATACAACAGCACCATCACCCCCCTACTCTTACCCATCTGCTCCCACGCTCTCATCCGCCCTCCTCCCATCTGTCCAGATCGGAGTGAAGGGAGCAGAGTACATGGCAGATGCTCTCAAGTACAACAGCACCATCAACACTCTTGACCTGAGGGCCAACGCGCTGGGTGATGAGGTGAGCTCGGAGGGATGATGGCAGTTCGTGCAGCAACTAGGAGGGGGGTATGAGCAGGCAGGTGCACTGTTGATAAAGTACAACAGCACCATCAACACGCTTGACCTGAGGGCCAACGCGCTGGGGGACGAGGTGAGCTGCATCTCACTCAATAGTATCTTTGAGTGAGAGGTGAGCTGTAGGTATTCACACTCAAACGCAACAGCACCATCAACACTCTTGACCTGAGGGCCAACGCGCTGGGAGGTGAGGTGAGTTAAGGTGAGGTGAGGGGAGGTGCGCTCTTAGCCTGATGTCAATCCACACACACACCAACCGGGGGGTTGTTGGTCTGTTTGGTCTTCACACTCACACACAACAGCACCATCAACACTCTTGACCTCAGTGCCAACGCTCTGGGTGATGAGGTGAGCTGCTCTGTTGCCAATCCATGCATCAACCACGGGGGATAGTGATCAGGCAATTGCACTCGCATTCTCCCCCCCTGCTCCCTTGCACCTCATGTCTCTCTATGCTTCTCCATCCTTTGCCCTTTCTTTCCCATCAGGGCGCGGCCATTCTGGCTCTGAGTCTGCGTGTGGTCAACAAGCAGCTCATTCTAAACACCGATGGGCCCGTTTCTTTCCTGAACAATTACCCCCTCTCCTTCCCTTTCCGTCCCATCAGGCCGCGGCCATTCTGGCCCTGAGTCTGCGGTTGGTGAACGAGCAGCTCTCCTCATTGGACCTGGCCTTCCCTGTCCCCCTTGCATGCACTCCTTAAGGCGTGGCGCTGCCATTGGAAATGCTCTCGATGCTCATCTGCCTTCCCCCCCTCCTCCCTTTCATCAGGCCGCGGCCATTCTGGCTCCGAGTCTCCGCGTGGTGAACGAGCAGCTCTCCTCGCTGGACCTGGGCTTTAACGAGATCCGCGACCGCGGGCTCTCAACCTTGAGCTTTCTTTCCCCCCCCCCCCCCCTGTCTTCCAACAGGGAGCGGCCATCCTGGCTTTAAGTCTGCGCGTGGTCAACGAGCAGCTCTCCTCGTTGGACCTGGGCTTTAATGAGATCCGCGACCGTGGGGCATACGCCCTGGCAGAGGCGCTCAAAGCGAATGGGGAGGCGGCAGTCGAGACACTTAACCTCTCCAGCAACTACATCACCAAATACGGCCAGGTGAAGTCTTTCAACCATTTTTTTTCTTTAGGAATCTTATAATGATTACCATTATGCATATTATCGTTACGTTTATTGTGATCATTATTATTATTGTTGTTGTTTCCATTATTATTTATGTTATCATTATTATTCCTCTGATCTGGCAACTGCCCTGCCCGTCCATCCATTGGGGGAACCTGGTGCGTGGGATGAATGACGGAAGGTTAACATCTTATGGTGATGGCACTTGCAGGGCTGCTGCTATCCACCCACTCACTTCCTCTTCCCATTCCCTCTGTGCCTCTCCCCCAGGTTGCTCTGAGCGAGGCCAAGGACCTGGTGAGTGAGATGACAGATACTTACCAGTGGTTCATTCCCTCTTTCCTCCGGTTTCCCTCTGTGCGTGTATCAAATCCCTCCCAGGTTGCTTTGAGCGAGGCCAAGGACCTGGTGAGTGAGATGAATGACGGCAAGGAGGTCAACATCTACTGGTAACTGGTCATGCCACTGATGACAATGGACCGATACCATTGCACTCGTGCCAATGGACTGATGCCAATGCACCGATTCCACTCAGCAAGCCTTTGTTATCCATACTCATTTCCTCTGATGATGCCCCTGTTTCAATAGCACGGATGGCAAGGATGACACTGGGCAGTATAGGTCAGCAGGGTGACGTGCGGAAACCGCATGATCGTTGTCATAGTGTGATGTGAACATGGGCTCAGCGTTTCTGATGGTGCTGTTAGAATATGAGACGAGAAGTGGCTGTTTGTGATTCTACAGCAGTTTATGCCAACACCGTTTGGGAATAATAGATTCTGAAACCAGCATGGATGGGATTGTATTGTACCTGTGATGGTACGCACACCGATGCAGTGTTAAGTGAGATGGGTAGGAAGGGAGGGAGGTTGTGAGAAAAACAGCTCTTATGGTTTGCTTGTAGAAGCGAGGAGAAATGAAGGTCATGTGTGGTTGGAGTGCTGGTGGTTGAAAGGCTGTGCTACATGCAATATAATAGTGATACAAACAAGTCAAAACATCCATCTTGTTCTCTGTACATTAGTGAATGTGACTGAAACGAAGGTCTGGCCCTTAACCAGAACTGGCACCTTTGGCTTACCCTGTATAGCCACAGTGCTTTCTGCATTGTCCTCTGCATATGTGGTTCTCCTGATGAGAGCCTGAGTCGCCCCCCCCCACATTCAGCTTGTACCTAGATAACCTCACGTTCACCACCTTATCCCTCACCCGCTGATTCACTATAAACACACTCACCGTCCGCTTCTCCTTACTGTAGAACGCAGCTACCGTGTGCCGACACGCTATCGGCACCATTAACGGCCGGCTCCCTGGCCTTACCAGATCCGTAAACTGCTTAAACATCCAGTACCTTTTAAGCATGGTGGGAGGGTCTACTGTGCCTGTATATCCTGGCGGATAATACCAATTCAGACCGATCAGTGACCATGTGTCGTTGGGGTCGAAAATCTGCCAGTAGACATATGCGGAGATCCCGAGAATGTTCACCATCTCAATCACGTTCCTCATCATGTAGAGCGAGAGATCGTACGCGTTGCCGAATTTGTTCAACGGCCCAGATTCCGACACCCAGATCTCCTTCCCCAGCGATTTTGCGAGCACCTTCATCGCGACGTAACGAGCGGCGTAGGTTTTCTCGGCGACAGAAGCAGTCATGTTTACCACCTGCTGTATCGGCAGCGTGTAACCATGAACGTTTACCCTTTGTAAAAAAATCTTCCCCACGAGCAGTGGGAACCACAGAGCTGTCATGCCCGGAAAGCTGTCCACACCGGCGAGTTTCGTCTTGAGTTTCTTCTCCCGAAGCAGTCGCAGAGTTTTGAAAATGATACGGGTCATCTCGACCACGTTGAAATTACACCCCTCCTGACCCATCCCCTTTAGCCAGTGCCCCTCTAACGCCTCGTTAAACGGCTCCAGTGTATCAAACTCGATATTCCCTAAAGCCGGATCCGTTTTAAACCTTTCCACCACCTCCACCAAATACTTAGCAAACCGTCCCTCGAATTTCGGCAGCAGGTTCGTCTGAAACGCCTTCTTCCCGCCCGCAACGTCTTTACTCGCGGTCATCCACCAGGGCGGGCTGTTGGAAAACGCCTCGAACACGTTCACCCCGCGGGCCTTGGCTCCCAGCAGCACCGCCTGCTGCCTCGAATCCGCCGTCCAGTTGAACCCCGCTGCCTGCGCCGGCCAGTACCCCGGCATGGCCCGCCAGCGCAGCAGCGCGTCCGAGTGAAGCTGCGGGCTGTACTGCGGGAGCGAGCCGCCGCCTATATTGAATCGCACTATATTGAGGTTGAGGCCCGAGGGGAGGAACATGAGGTCCAGCAGAGGGTCCATCGCCACCTGGGGGAACCCGCCGATGTAGTTGCCCAGCCTGGGGGGCGGAAGGAGCGGAGGGGAAAGTGGGGGGAATGGGGAGGTGGGGGAAGCGGGATGTGGGGCAAGGGGGAGATGGGGAGAAGGCGGGGTGCGGTGAGAGAGGAGAAATTCAAAAGAAGCGTGTGGCCGGGAGTCAGATACGCTCGGGCGATTCGATAGAACCACGTATTCTTAGTACAATCAACTCACCATGCGAGCGATGTGCCCCATCCCTTCCACTTGGTCCCGATCTGCCGTGGAGTGATCGTCACGTGGAACGGTCCCTTACCGCCCGAGCACACTCCGAACCGCTCCCATGCCGGCTCGAGCGTCGGAGCTGGCGGTCTGGCCTTCGGTCCTGCCGCCGTTGCAGACGTATTCACTAACGAAGTGTCGTGCCACGCAATGGGGTATCGCGTGAAGTTCCATGGTTCGGGCTCAGGTGAAGGGGCAGGGGTAGGTGACTGTACAGGGGGTGATTGTACGGGAGGTGACTGTACCGGAGGTGACTGTGGAGGAGGTGACTGTATAGGAGGTGACTGTATAGGTGACTGTACGGGAGGTATGGCTGCGTCCTGTGCGTTTGCCTGGTTCGAGGGGAGTAGGCGCTGAAAAAACGCGACGACTTGGTCGATTATCGACGACCCTTCAGCGACTGTAGCTGAAGCTCCTATTAAGAGCAGTAGCAGTAAGATGGCTGCCTGGCACGATCTTGACGGGGAAGTTACTATTCGAGGATGAAGGTGACGGGAAAAACCAGAGGGCATTGTCAACGACGCCGTGACGAAAACCAGTAACCCTTTTCGCAGAGATCACAGAGAATTGCGGGTCACGCGCTGGACGACGTAATTAGGTAAGGTCTAGAGTCGGGCCAGCAGCATTTTCTTTGGAGAGGTAACGGGAGCGGGATGCACGGACGGATGTAGTCAGGTTGAAGCAGTATGGATAAATGGTGCGACTGAGACACCACGCGCTGAATGCTGTGCGTTGCTTCGAACCAACTCGCCGGGGCAAACAATGTGGCAAAGAGGATTTGGTAGCGGATTATCAATCAGCCGAGGTACTGGTTTGTCAGTTGATTGTTGACCATGCTCGCTTCAGCCGAGGAACGGACCTTGGGATTGTCCACAGCCCCCGTCCAGCAGCAGCGGGACATAGGAGTCGAGGGGAGGACGCGGAGGTGCTGAGCTGACGGAATGTCGAGAAGAGATGGAGGGTAGCTAGCGAAACGAGGTGCGGGGAACCCATGTTGGCCGCGCACCGTTCCCCCGTTGAAGTCGTTTGTGCAATGCGCGTATGTGGCGCGCTGGAAAATCCCACCGACGGCGGAAATGTAGTAAAGGAATATTTTCCCCCATCTGAGGCCAGGAGGGGGAACGTGGAATACACACCCCTCTTGAGGAGGTTGTGGGGAGCGGACTTGACACACCCGCGCACGGCAATGTCACAGGAAGAGGAAGAAACGGGCATTTCGAGGCGAGGCGTGATGAGGCTGGTTTGGAACCATGATGGCTGGGTGATTGGCCGAAGAGCCGAACCTGTCTTCAGTAAACCTAGATTCGACGGTTCGATGGACGGTCATTCGAGATCTTACGTCTCGTTGCATCCCAAATTCTGGTGAAGTACGCTTTCGCGGTCCCCAAACTAGTCCTGCGAAGCTTTGTTCCCCTCATATCAAGCGCCTTGGTCTGTATCCTTTGGCTCAGAAAGTTGGTACGGAACCGAAGGTCTCTGGGCTGGAATTAAGAAGTCGGTGGGACTGTCACCCCAACACCACGAAGGTGAACGTGTCAAGTCACACTGCTAGCCGTCACCAGCAGCAGTCAAATGGCGTGCCTTCCTGCAGTGGACCGCGAGGACCCTCGCGAACGTGAGTTACACAATATACACATCCACGTTGGCATAAGGAGTTCGTTCGACTTCGGTTCAGAAACGTGTGTTGACAGACCGTGATGGTTTGGTAGATTGCAGAATGACCAAAACCCGAATCGCCACCACCACGGTATGATGCTGTCGCCGACAAACCTGACTCAGCTGGCTTGTCACTAGGCGTCCAAGCGTCCATCTACCGTCAGTGCGACTTTATCCATTATGATACAGACGACAAGCTGGGTCGTCACCGTCATCCTCCACTGAAAGCAACCATGTACAAACATCCTGTCTTGCTATCTGTTACGAGTGAGATTGAGTGAATGAACGAGAATTGCACTATCTAAGCAAGAGTACAATGAGCGAAGGCATGAGCGAAGAATATATAGCGAAACTACAGTGGTAACGGTAATGGACTGTGGTTGTCGCGCGATGGGCCTGGGACTGTGGTTGGGAAAAAATGTCGAAGCGTAGGCCCGGAGCGCCAGAGCTGACGTTTCATTTTAAGGGCATGTTCCTACAGCCTCTTATCAGGCGAAGCTCTTGTCAAATTCGCGTAGCATCGCACTCAAACACACGTAATGACATTCGATCGCACTGAAACGCATTGAACCGCACAAGTCTGACCAGAGGGTCGCCTGATAAGGGGCCGTAGGAACATGCCCTAAGCCTCCCTGATTCCCAGGAAAATTCCCCGCCTGTATTATGGGTGTATATTTTCCGCAGGTAGGCTACTCTGATTGCTCAGTGTCGAAAAGTAGTTAACTCTGATTGCTCAGGGTCGAGAACTGAACATCAATGTAGTAACGCGCACTGTATTTAACGGGGACAAAAGTTTCACCCCCGCAGGATTCCATCACAACGCGACATCATTTCGTGCACACCTCGTGCGCTTTACTTTCTGATCCGTTACTTTGATCAAATTAGTATTTCTCCATACGTTTTAGCGCGGGGAAGAAACGAGCAGTTTCGGTCCACCAAGCAGTTCGGTACCAAAGATGTGCCAAGATTTCCTATTCGTTGATTACTCGCGATTCGCCAACTTCATTGTGCGAAACGCAAAAAATGTGTTGATAACTTCACGCACACGTAATTGCGACAATACGACCGACATTTTCGACTTTTGTAACACTAACGTACGTAGAGTGTATTCACCTGTCAGACATGTTGCCGCGCGATGCTTACGCTGTTGCTGTACTACGACCAATCCGAAGGCGAGGTTATCGGAAGGACATTTCCGAGAAACTTCCTTCCGATAAGGTCAAATTCAGAGTCCACAGAACGCGTTACTCTACATTGACAGAGTCAGTAAGAACACTACTCTGAGCCTAGATACAATATTTCAGGGTTCGCTAAAGCACTATTCTGAATGGATCAGTGTTCACAAGTCAGAAATTCTGAAATTGCAGGGTCCACCAAGTGAGAAGCCTGTAATCACCCTGAAATCAGGGTAATCACCCTGATATCGTCAGCCCTGCGGAGCGCGGGTTACTGGCCGAGCCGTGAGGACGGGGTGCGATGTGCGAAGGTGGCGGGCGGACTGTCGATGTGAGGGTTGCGAGTGGTAACGATGCTGACTGTGGTGCTACAGTGATGTACGCGCTGAGCAGAGATGCGAAGTAAGGAAAACGAATTTTCTTTACACTACCCCCCCTCCTAAGGAGGTCCTCCTTACGAAAGTGCGTGTACATCCCTGAAATTTCGGTTGCGCAGATACTCGGTGAGGACGGGGTGGTTTTCGATTCTATCCAGGGGAACCCAATTGTCTTCAGTGGGTGTACGGTCTTTCCAGGAGAGTAAGAACTCGATCCTACGGGCTCCTCGAGGGTCGCGAACCCTAAGACTCATGATTTTCTCGGGGGTGATGATTGGTTCAGTTGGTGGTCTTGTCATGCTGGCTGGGCGATTGCGTGCCAGTTGGCTTCTGGACGGGACGTAAGGGCGAAGTAGGCTGACGTGGAATGAGGGGCTGACGTACCAGTCAGCAGGGAGGAGGAAGTGTGCGGTGACGGGTGTAAGCATGTGGCTTATGCGAAATGGCCCGCAGTATCGGGGGCGGAATCTCGGGGTGATGGGCAGTCGGAGGTTCTGAGTGTCAAGTAAAACTAAGTCGTCGGGCTGGTAAGTGACAGGTCTGCGGTGACGGTCGGCGTTGCGTTTAGCAATGATGTTCGATTTTTTTTATTGCGTCTACTGCCCGGGTCCGTGCTGCTTGTAATATTTCGGCGAACTGTTGTGCTCGTGGTACTGGGTTGTCGAGATTCGGGGTCATGGGTACTGTCGGGTCTTGTCTGTAGTTTAGGTAAAATGGTGACTGTTGGGTCGTGGCGGATGGCGAGTTGTTGTACGCGAATTTGGTTAGTGGCAGTTGCTGTTCCCACGTGGTCGGGTCGTCACACGTGGCCCTGATGAGCTGTTCCATGGTCTGATTTGTCCGTTCTGTCTGTCCGTCGGTGTCGGGGTGGTATGATGAACTGAAATGTAGTCGCGTGCCGAACTGCTGCCACAGGTTCCGCCAGAAGTTGCTGGTGAATTTCGTATCGCGGCCGCTGATGACCGCGGCTGGTATCCCGTGCAGTCGAACGACGGTGGAGATGAAGAGGCGTGCTTTTTCTTCGGCTATGATTGATTTGTTGCAGGCTACGAAATGTGCCATTTTCGTCAGTCGATCGACGACGACCAGGATCGCGTCGTTCCCACTCGCCCCGGCTGGTAACCCCGTGACGAAGTCCATCGTCACCTGCTGCCAAGCACGCTCTGGGGGTGGTATTGGCCGCAACTGTCCCGCCGGCCGCTGTCGTGATGATTTCATGGGCTGACAAGTGGGACACGATGACACGTGTTGTTGTATGTCGGACAACATTTCGGGCCTGTAATAATACCGCTGCAGCTGCTGCCGTGTTTTTTCTACTCTGAAATGCCCCGAGGTAACTCCGTCGTGTGCCTCCTGTAATAGTAATTCCCGAAGCAGTGTATACCCAGGCACCCAGATGCGGTTAGTCCCGGTTTTTACGTAATAGACTCCCTTTGCTGCTGCGAACTGCTGCGAATTTCCTCCTGTGATGAATGGATCCGTTTGGTACCCGTGGGTGAATAGGCCTGTCAGTAGCGGGCTTGTCTGTGCGAGTAGTGTTGCATGGATCTGGGCAGTGCGTCGGGGATGTTTGAGGCTCCCTTTTTGTAAGTGACCGTTGTAGTGAAAGTTGGACTCGAGGAAGTCGAGCTAGTGAATCTGTCGTGGGTTGAGGTGTGGCTGTGCGCGAAGGTACTGTCAGAAAATTATAGCTTTTAGATTTGTGTAGGCTGTAGTGGGGTAGCCCATAAGGGGTACAACCCAATTAGGGTTAGTACTTGTACCCAACTGTTTCATAGTTCATCCATTCTTACTTCTCGTCATGGTATCGAGCAGGTTCCCGAGTGGGAATACTGCCTAGGGCCCACCACGAATTTTTCTTCCCTGCCCGTAGCGCGCTTTGCTCCTACCCGATTAGCGCCTCGAGCCGCCCTTAGTGGCCCCCGCTGGCCGCCCTTACGGCCTCTCGCGCCGCCTTCTACGGCCCCTTACGGCCCCGTCTGGCCCCTTACGACCCCATCGCGGCCCCGCTTAGGCCCCTTACAGCCCCGTCGCGGCCCCGCTTAGGCCCCCTTACGACCCCGTCGCAGCCCCGCTTAGGCCCCTTACAGCCTTGTCGCGGCCCCGCTTAGGCCCCTTACGGCCCCGTCGCGGCCCCACTTAGGCCCCTTACGGCCCCCATCGCGGCCTCGCCTAGGCCCTGTGAAATGAGTAAGCAGGAATGAAATGACTAAGGAAAGATTGGGTACAAATACAACCCTAGAAACCCTGTACCCTATATGTGCTACCCCACTATAGCCTACAGCAACTATGTCATATAAATCTGACACACCCCCATAGGCAAAGTGGGGGAGAACAAGGGGTCACAAGACCAGTCAAGCAAAGCAAAGCAAGCTCAGGGTGGATCACAAAGTCACCACACAGTCCGAGCACAAGAGTAGGGCCAGAGGCCAGTTCACATGCAGGAGTACAGACATATATATAAACTAGACAAACAAGAGCAGGCATATATATATGTCACAGTACAAGTGAAGTCAAGAGGAGAGCAAGTGAGGCAAGACAGGCACAAGACCCAGCTGGGTGCAAAAGCGCTGATGGTCACAAGGCGCGAGTGCCTTGGTGAACACATCAGCAGTGTTGGCCTCAGAGGCCACGTACGCAAGTCGCAACTGACCACGCTGCTGCAGCTCACGAGCAAGGAAGTAGCGGAGAGCAATGTGCTTCGTTCTGTGCTCCAAGCGCTGCTCTCGACACAAGGCCAGCATAGCCTTGTTGTCTACGTACAGCACCGGAGGAGAACGAGGCAACTCTCCAAGGTCAGTCAGCAGGTAGGTGAGCCAGCGAAGCTCCTGTGCAGCCATGGCCCCGGCATAGATCTCAGCCTCACAACTGGAGCCGAGAACGAAGACGAGCGAGTAGACCGCCACGAGACAGAACCGGAACCAAGGCTGAAGGTGTAACCCTGTGACGACCGCTGCGTAGCCTGTCGTCAGCCCAAGAAGCGTCCGCGTGGCCGGTAAGGACCACTGGACTCCGCCCTCCAAGCACTAGCCCCATGCCCGACGTACTGCACAGGTAGCGCAATACCCTCTTCGCTGCAGCCATGTGCTCGGTCTGTGTCTCCCAGGAGCAACATAGCGTGCAAGAATGCTCAGAGGGTATGCAAGGTCAGGTCGTGTGCAGGTCATCAGGTACATGAGGCAGCCAACAAGCTCTGCATACGGACCACTCGACTCTACGGACTCATCCGAAGGCAGAGCTGAGAGTGAGTGGCGAGTAGGCAGAGGAGTGGCCTGAGGCGAGGAGTACGTGAAGCCGAAGCGCTGAAGGACCTGCTGCACCATGTGTGACTGAGTCAAGGTAATGGTGCGGCGTGCTCTGTCCCGAGTGATCTGCAAGCCAATGGTAGCTGCGCAGTTCACCCAGGTCTGTGCACGTGTGTCTCTTCAGCAGCTCGGACTTCACGTAGGCGAGTCCAGCAGTGTCTGCTGTGGCAAAGACCAAGTCGTCGACGTACACGAGGATGTAGAACGGCGGCAGGGAAGTGTCGGTGCGAAGAAACAGCGACGGGTCAGCAGTAGAAGGAGCAAACCCAAGAGCCGCAAGCGTAGTCCTCAGTGTGTCGTGCCACTCACGCGGTGCCTGGCGGAGACCGTAGACTGGCCGTCGAAGGCTCCACTGGGTGCCAGGAGGGAAAGTCCCAGTGAAGCCAGGTGGACGGCGAAGCCAGATCTCCTCGTGCAGGCTACCCTGCAAGAACGCAGTGCTGAAGTCGAGAGAGTGAAGCTCGTAGTCGCGCTGAGCGGCTATGTGCAGCAGCACCCGAAGAGTAGTCATCTTCGGGGTGGGAGAGAAGGTCTGAAAGTAGTCAACTCCCTGCCGCTGACTGAAGCCACGAGCAACGTACCGTGCCTTGAAGACAGGTGGAGAGCCCGGCGGCCGCTTCACCCTGAAGATCCACATGCCACTGACGATGTTCGCCCCAGGAGGGGGAACCGCGTCAACGTAGGTGCCTGTGGACTTCCAGGAAGCCATCTCTGCATCCATAGCTGCCTGCCACTGAGAGGAGTAGGGACCCTCTACGGCCTCCGCGTAAGAACGCGGAGTCGGGATGTCTAGTGCATCCGAGTCTCCCTCAGGGGCAAGCAGTACAGACGCGAGATGAGGTGAAGCAGCCGCTAGACACTGTAACTCCTCCTGCCTGTCCTCTAGGACGTCCGTGCTAAGAGCACACTCACCCCCGACGGACGGAGGACAGACAGACGCAGACTCAGCAACAAGACTAGCAGTGTAGTCGAGACGACAGCGAGCAGCAAAGTCGACGAGCTCAGCGACTAGAGCAGACGCAGCAGTGGACTCAAAGAGGGGTCAGTGACGACAGTAGCAAGCAGACGCGTGACAGTAGGACTGGCAGCACGAAGAGAGTCCGACTCAGGGTCGGCAAGCGCAGGAAGAGAGGACTCAGGAGGAGAAGGCCAAGGGGCACGCAGAGGAGCAGTGGACGGACGCAAAGACATCCGGTGCGTGCCAGGGACAGGAGGAGGACGCTGACGCGAACTGCGACCACTAGCTGCGAGCAGCACGAACAGGCGACGCGGGACGAGACGCAGGCTCACGACGCTCAGCAAGACCTTCCAGTAGGACCAGTGTAAGAGAGGGAGCAGGCAGAGGAGAGGAAGGCTCCAGCAGGGACTGCGACTGGACAGGCGGTGGACCCTCTACCGGAGGAGAAAGACCAAGAACCTGCTGCAAGAGCGGAACGAAGTACGGCCGAGGCCGCGCGGCAGCTCCAGACGCAGCAGGGTCTGCACCAGCACCCTCAGCGACAGCACCAGCGCCACCCACACCTCCAGTGGCAGGACCAACAGCAGTAGGCTCAGCACCAGCGCCCTCAGCAGCTCCAGCTCCAGGAGGACCCGCAGGTCCAGCAGCTCCGGGACCGGCAGCACCCGCACCCACGACGGTCGAAGAAGCTCCAGCTCCAGCTCCAGCAGCACCTCCAGATCTCAGCAGCACGCCTCCAGCGGCGACGCGAACCACTCGCGCAGCTCCTGTGGAGAGAGGGGCTCCCGGCGAGACGCAGCAGCAGGAGAAACCCCAGGCTCAGCAGCTCCAGACGCAGCACCCCCAGGCTCAGCAACTCCCAACTCAGCACCTCCAGTCTCAGTAGCTCCCGACCCAGCACCCCCAGACCCCGCACCCCCAGGCACAGCACCCCCCGGCTCAGCACCCCCACGGCTCCGCACCCTCCGCAAGTAGCACCCTCAGGCCCAGCACCCCCAGCAGTAGCACCCCCAGGCTCAGCACCCCCGCGCACAGCACCCCAGAGTCAGCACCCCCAGGCTCAGCACCCGCAGCAGCACCAGAGTCACCAGTAACCTCGACCGGGTCAACGGCGTCTACCTGGGACACACCTGAGGGGGCAGGAACCTGAGGGGGAAGGGGGTCTACCGGGGGGGGAACCGGCACAAGGAAGTCCGGGGGAGGGGGGAGGGAAGGAGTGCGGTAGGGGAAGAGACGGTAGAAGGGGACTGACTCGTCGAACGTGACGTCCTGGGAGGACAGAACACGACGAGAGGAGGGGTGGTAAAACTGCCACCCTGGGGCGTCAGTGGGGAAGCCAAGGAAGACACAGGGAGCAGCACGAGGGGACAGCTTGTCCGCAGACAAGTCGCGGACAAACGCCCGAGATCCCCAGACACGGAACACAGACGCATCGCCAACCTTCCCCGTCGACAGCAAGGCTGGGGACATCGCAGGCCGAGAGACCCGGGGGTGAAGGTTGAGCTGATGCGCCGCGTACCTCACTGCAAACGGCCACAGAAAATGGGGGGCAGCCGCATGCATCATGGACGTACGAGCGACATCCATGACCATGCCAATGCGGCGCTCAGCAATCCCATTTTGCTGTGGTGAGTCCGGAAGCGTGAAGGTCTGGCGGATCCCCCGTGCACGACAGTAGTCTCGCAGAAGGCGAGAAGAGAACTCTCCGCCTCTGTCCGAGTGCAGACGCAGAACAGGAAAGTCTGAGCCGAAGCTCCTCCTGAGCTGGAGACGAGCCTCGCGGATCCAGTCGATCAGCACCTCAGTGACCGCACCCTTGCTGCGCAAGGGGAGGACTGTGGTGTAACGCGAGTAGTCGTCAACCACCAGCAGGAAGTAGCGCTCGTAACCCTGCCCACGGACGGGGGCTGGGCCCCACACATCCATGTGAAGCGTCTGCAGGGGAGCCTCCGTCGGGGGGAAGTGGGAGGAGTGAGGAGTAGCCCGGAGGCGACCCTCGACACAGGGGACACAGGAAGGTCCTGGCCCGGAGGGGAGAGGAGGGAGAGACTGGGGAAGACCAGAGACAAGGACACGGGAAGCCATGCTCCGAAGACGGGGCAAGGAGGGGTGGCCAAGACGGTGGTGCCACAGGAGAGTCTCGTGAGACAGGAGGCGACAAGAACAGGGGGCAGACTCAGGACCTGACCGGGACGCAGCAGCAAGTACCTGACCTGACGCAGCCACCTGACCAGACGCAGGGACAGGAGGAGACTCAACGGTCAGGGTTGTAGAGACTCGACCCCGGCCGACGCGAGAACGTGGCCAGGTGTCGGCCTGTGCGAGCCTCCGTGCAGTGGGTCACCCGCTGACGCGCAGGATGTGAACTGGTGAACACCCCCATCCTGCAGGTCCGCTCCACTCACCAAGTTCGTAGAGAACGAGGGAAGGTACAGACCCGACAGGGTGCCCGAAGGGGCAGCCGGACACGGGAGGACAGTGGAGAAGTGAGACAGGACAGGACCCCCAGAGGGGTCAGCAAGGGAGACCGCAACCGGCCTGGCGAGCGGCGAAAGGGTAGTGCGGTCTCGAAAGAAGGAGCGAGAAGCTCCGGAGTCAAGTGTGAAAGTGAGGGAGGACGAGGACGACGCAGTACCTGAGAGCGCAGTCTCACCAGGACCTGAGAGCGCAGACGCACTGGCACCTAGAGCAGCAGCCTCACAAGCACCTAGCGCAAGCAGTACCAATGCCCGGGTCGGGCTGGAACAACGGTAACCCTCATTCTCCTCACTATAATCCACAGCATACATAGCAGTAAGGATAGCATCAAAATCAAGATCAAAGATCGCTACACCAGCCCTGAGAAGCTCATCCCAGCGAGGGATCTCACTAGCCCTAGGGAACTGCTGACGCCAGGCGTCCGTCAGGCGGCCAAAGCAGCGCTGGGTGGCTGTGGGCACCCCCACACTGCTCACCCGCGCGGTCGCCGGAACGAAGAACGTAGGTGCAGGGGACCAGTACCCCCACCCCTCTGACGCCCAGCGTACCACTCACGAAGCTGCTGAGGCGAAGGGATGTCCCGAGAGCGCTGCTGCTGCTGCCGCTGCGCGCGCTGGCCACCACCACCGCCGCTACGCTGCTGGGTACCACCCCCGACCAGCTCCACCCCCTCCACCACCACTGCCTCCTCCGCCGCCGCCTCCACCGCCTCCACCTCCGCGCCCCTCCACCTCCGCCGCTGCCTCACCACCACCGCTGGCACCACCACTACTGTCTCCGCCGCTGCTGCCACCACCCACCACCACCCCGCCACTAGTCCCGCCGCCACCCCCACTCCCTCCGCCGCCACCGCCGCCACCGCCCAACCGCCCCCCTCCAGCTCCACCCGCGCCCTTGCCCCCCTTGCCCTTGCTGGAGCGACGTCTCCCACTAGGGGCAGACGCCGCGCCCGACCGACTCAAGACAAGCAGGTCGGCTAGCAGCAGCAGAGGCCAACAGAGGTGCAGCAAGGGGGAAGGAGAGCACCCCTCAAGATGGGGGTGCGAGGGTCACCACGAGAAGCACCTACAGCGGACTATGCTCTTCTCCGCTGCCGAGGAGGGCCCTTCTCGAGGAGGTCGAACGTGAGCGTGGTGGGGCAGACTGCGAGAAAGTGGTCCCCTGACGACTCGAAGGGAGTCAGGAGGCGCGCGACTACGTAGTAGAGAGCGATGTACATGGGGGGGGGGGTTCTTAGCGCAGAACCTCAGCAGGAAGGGCGGCGCGGTAGCGAGTGGTCACTATGTGCGGCGATGCGTAATGAGGTCAGCGACAGTGGGAAAGGCAGAGCAGAGAGGGTCAGGGAAAGAGGTAGGGAAGCATGAGACGGCTCAGTGCAGCAGTGGCAGGGGAGGAGTAGCGCGCTAAACTACAGCGTCGTACAAGGTCTGCAGCACTCTTGTATGAACTGAAGTGCGCACGCTCAGAGGTAGGGAGGTGGCGACGCACAGCAAGACGCGTGCAGCAGCATCGCGGGTGGCCCACTTAGAGCGGACAGCGGGATCCAGCATCACGTAGCAGGAGCAGGAGAGGCACCAGAGGTGAGGTCAAAGAGAGAAAGGTCGTCAGCTCTGTCGCACTGTAAGAACAGCTGCAGGTCGTCTAGCCAGACCTCAAAATCAATGGCGCGACCCTCAGCGTCAAAAGCTAGGACACTAGGGGTAGCCATGGCGACGACTGTGAAGCAGTGCAAGCAGTAGGGGGGGGGGAGAGCACGCAGTGACAGTGGGACTGTGCTCACCAGGCAGGGCAGGTCGCGTAGCTCGACAGAAAGGCAGCTCGGCGACCGGGCGGCTCGGGTGCACAGCGGCTCGGCTCCCGGGCGGCTCGGCGGCAGGGCAGCTCGGGGGCAGGGCGGCTCGGCTCCCGGGCGGCTCGGCGACAGGGCGGCTCGGGTGCAGGGCGGCTCGGCTCCCGGGCGGCTCGGCTGCAGGGCGGCTCGACTCCCGGGCGGCTCGGCGGCACAGCTGCTCAGAGGTCCGCCCGCACAGTCGCTACAGGTGGACGGCGGGGCCGATGCGTAGTGGGCGGCGAAGCCGCGGTTTGAGCAGCGCGGCGGCCGCAGCCTAGTGGGCTGGGAGCCGCGGTCGTAGCAGGCGGCGGGGGCCGCGGTAGTAGGTGGGCGGCGGGGGCCGCGCGAGAAGACGGCCGGGGCCGCTACGGTAGTAGGCGGCGGGGGCGGCCGCGGGTCGAACAGGCGGCTGGCGCCGCGGTCGTAGCGGGCGGCGGGGCCGTGCAAGCAGGCGGCCGGGGCCGGGGCGGTAGTAGAGGGCGGCGAGGCCGCGCTAGCAGGCGGCCGGGGGGCCGCGACAGTAGCGGGCAGCGGGCGGGCCGCGGTCGAACAGGCGGCTGGGGGGGCCGCGGTCGAGCAGGCGGCTGGGGCCGCGGTAGGTAGTAGCGGGCGGCGAGGCCGTGCGCAGCAGCAGGCAGCCGGGGCCGCGACAGGAGCGGGGCGGCGGGCCGGGGCCGCGGTCGAACAGGCGGCTGGGGCCGCGGTCGTAGCAGGCGGCGGGGGGGCCGCGATCGTAGTGGGCGGCGGCCGCGGCGTAGCGGGCGGCAGGGCCGCGTCGAGCAGGCGGCTGGGGGCCGCGTCGAGCAGGCGGCTGGGGGCCGCGTCGAGCAGGCGGCTGGGGCCGCGATCGTAGCGGGCGGCTGGGGCCGCGACTTAGCGGGCGGCTGGGCCGCGTGTGGGAGGGAGGCGACACGGAGGGTCGCTCGAGAGCGGAAAAAAAAAGTTGAGCGCGCCTCGGGGCGCGCTTCGGTGGGCCCTAGGCAGAGTTCCACAGGGAAACCCGCTCTATACCATGTGAAATGAGTAAGCAGGAATGAAATGACTAAGGAAAGATTGGGTACAAATACAACCCTAGAAACCCTGTACCCTATATGTGCTACCCCACTATAGCCTACAGCAACTATGTCATATAAATCTGACAGGCCCCTCCGCGGCCCCCGTCTGGCCCCTAGCGGCCCCACTTAGGCCCCTTACGGCCCGTCGCGGCCTCGCCTACGCCCTTCCGCGGCCCCGCCTCGCCCCTTACGGCCCCTTACGGCCTCACCTAGGCCCCTCCGCGGCCCCGTTTGGCCCCTTATGGCCCCGATACGGCCCCTTCTGGCCCCGCTACGGCCCCGTCTGGCCCCGCTACGGCCCCATCTGGCCCTGCTACGGCCCTTCTGGCCTCGCTACGGCCCCGTCTGGCCCCCCTTTGCGGCCCCGTTTAGGCCCCTCTGCGGCCCCGTCGCCACCTATGGCCCCGTCGCTACCTGCGGCCCCGTCGCCACCTACGGCCCCGTCGCCACCTATGGCCCCGTCGCCACTTGCGGCCCGTTGCCACCTGCGGCCCCGCCGCCATCTGCGGCCCCGCTGCCACCTGCGGCCTCGCCGCCACCTGCAGCCCCGCCGCCCAGCGCCCGCACCCCCGAGCAGCCGAACCGCCGGCCAGCTGAGCCGCCTGACCGCCGAGCCGCCTAGCAGCCACCCGCCCGACCGCCGCCGCGCCGCCCAGCACCGAGGAACCGAGCCGCCCGACCTCCGAGCTGCAGAGCAGCCGAGAGCCCGACCGCCGAGAGCCGCCGAGCCGCCCGACCGCCCCACTTGCCTGGTAAGAGCATAGTCTCTGCCACTGCACTGCCCTGCCCCACTGTACTCACTGCCTGCGTACTGCTGTTACGGCCTCCCCTAGCGTTCTCAACTTTAACGCTGACGGTAGGGCATTGGACTTTGAGGTCTGGGTAGATGATCTGCAGCTTTTCCTGCAGTGCGATAGGGCATACGGCCTCTCCCTCTTTGACCTCACTTCTGGTGCCTCCCCTGCCCCTATTGCTGATGCTGACGCCACTGTTCGCTCACAGTGGGCCATGCGCGATGCTGCTGCTCGTCTTGCTGTGCGCCGCCACTTACCGACCACTGAGCGTGCACACTTTAGCCAATACAAGAGTGCTCAGACCTTGTATGACGCTGTAGTTGCACGCTACTCTTCCCCTGCCACTGCTGCACTGAGCCGCCTCATGCTACCGTACCTCTTCCCTGACCTTGCTGCCTTTCCCACAGTCGCTGACCTCATTACGCACCTCCGCACTAGTGACACTCGCTACTGCGCTGCGCTTCCTGCTGAGTTCTGCGCCAAGAACCCCCCCCCCCATGTACAGCCTCCTCTACTACATAGTCACCCGGCTCCCTGATTCTCTCTGCGTAGTCAGGGACCACTTCCTCTCAGTTTGCCTCACCACTCTCACCGTTGACCTCCTCGAGAAGGCCCTCCTTGTGATAGAGAAGAGCATAGTCGCTGTAGGAGCCTCTCGTGGTGACCCTCGCACCCCCGTCTTTGAGGGGTGTTTCTCCTCCCCCTCTTGCCCTGGTTGCCTCTGCTGTTGCGGCCGACCTCGTTGGTTTCGAGTCGGTTGGCGCTGCGTCTGCCCCGAGTGGGAGACGCCGCACCGGCAAGGGCAAGGGGGACAAGGGCGCTGGAGGGGCTAGAGGGGGCGGTGGAGGTGGTAGTGGAGGCAGTGGAGGGAGTGGGGTG